CGGTACTGGAGCTGCTGGAGCTGACGACGCTGGAGCTGACGGTTCTGGACACGGTGGTCCTGCTGGTTCTGGAGGTGCTGGCGAGGGGAGGTCTGACGCTGCTGGGGCCTCTGGTGCTGACGTCGCCGACTCGGGGGGTGCTGCGGCGGAGGGTGCTGGTCCAGGTGCTTCTGGTGCTCCGGGTGCTGGAGGTGCTGGCGGAGCTCCGCCGTCGCGCCTGTTCTTCCCTCCTCTGTCGCCGTCGGCTTTGCCGCCGCCTGACACGGTGCTTCGCCAGGTTCTTTCCCTCCCGTCTTCCACTGGCCTTCCCCTTCAGCCTGGCTCCCCCCTCCCTGCTCCTGTGCCTTATACTGCACAGCCGGACTCGCTTACGGAGCGTCGTGAGCCTGCGTCTCGTCCTGCCTCGCCGGTTCGCGCTGCTCGCACTGCTCGCACTGGTCCCACTAGCCGTCGTGTCGCGCGTCCGCGTCCTCCTCCTGTTCCTGGCACGCACATTATGGCACTTCGTCCTTCCACTGGTCCACAGCGTGTCCCCCTACCGTCTCCTCCTGCGTCTTCTCTTCCTGACGTTCCCGACCCTGAGTCTGACAGTGTTCGTGCTGCCCACCCTACTGTCACGCGTCTTCTCGCCACTGTTGTCACTGACCCGTCGTTTGAGTCTTCTGCTGCGTCTGCCCTGGTCGCTGAGCTTGTCGACTTTGCTGCTGCCTGTCGCCTCGACTACGCCGCCAGTCTTGTTGCTGGGTCTGAGTCTGTCTGTCCTCCGTCCGTCGGGGGTGAGTGTGCTCTTGGCACGGACGTCCTTGAGGACAGGCAGGAGGACTTTGACTCTCTCGCGGCTGCTGTACCTCATCTCGTGGCCTGGTTGCTTGCCCCTGAGGGAGACCCGGATGCACTAGACATCCCCACTCCGCGCACTTACGCAGAGGCGATCTCGGGTCCCTACTCCTCTCAGTGGCAGACAGCCATGGACGCAGAGATGGCATCCTGGAAGTCCACAGGCACCTACGTCGACGAGGTTCCCCCTCCTGGGGCGAACATCGTCGATGGCATGTGGATTTTCAGGGTGAAGCGGCCGCCAGGTTCTCCGCCTGTCTTCAAGGCTCGTTACGTTGCTAGAGGCTTCAGTCAGCGTCAGGGGGTCGACTTCTTCCAGACCTTCTCCCCCACCCCGAAGATGACCACTCTTCGGGTTCTGCTGCACGTTGCTGCTCAGCGTGACTACGAGCTTCACTCTCTTGACTTCAGCACAGCGTTTCTGCAGGGCAGCCTGCACGAGGAGATCTGGCTGCGCCGCCCACCTGGCTTTACTGGGTCGTTTCCTCCTGGTACCCAGTGGAGCCTCCGCCGGCCAGTCTACGGTCTCCGCCAGGCGCCACGTGAGTGGCACGACACACTGAGGACTACACTTGCGGCTCTTGGGTTCGCGCCGTCTACTGCTGACCCGTCGCTGTTTCTGCGCACAGACACGTCGCTGCCGCCGTTCTACATTCTCGTGTACGTCGACGACTTGGTCTTTGCTACTGCTGACACTAAGGCACTCGCTCGTGTGAAGTCGGAGCTGCAGAAGAGACACACCTGCACTGACCTGGGTGAACTGCGTAGCTACCTTGGCTTGCAGATCACCCGGGACAGAGCTCGCCGCACCATCACCCTGACTCAGTCACACATGGTGCAGCAGGTCCTTCAGCGCTTCGGCTTCCAGTTCTCCTCACCACAGGCCACACCTCTGGCTACCAGCCACTCGCTCTCAGCTCCACCTTCGGACGAGTCCGTAGAGCCGAGTGGCCCGTACCCAGAGCTTGTAGGCTGCCTCATGTACCTGATGACTTGCACGCGACCTGATCTCGCGTACCCACTTAGCATCCTTGCTCGCTACGTTGCGCCTGGGAGACACAGGCGAGAGCACTGGGAGGCTGCTAAGAGGGTGCTGCGTTACTTGTGCAGTACATCAGGCATGGGGCTGGTGCTTGGAGGACGCGACAGAGTTGTCCTCACTGGTCACTCGGACGCTTCTTGGGTGGACGACCTGGCTACGCAGCGGTCGTCACAGGGTTACACCTTCAGCCTTGGCTCTGGTTCTGTCTCGTGGCGGTCCACCCGCTCTTCTTCTGTTCTCGGCTCTAGTTGTGAGGCTGAGATCTACGCCACAGCCATGGCTGCACAGGAGTTACGCTGGCTCACCTACCTGCTGACTGACTTGGGAGAGCGGCCTAGTTCTCCTCCAGTTCTGTACGGTGACAACAAGGCGGCTCTTGCCTTGTGTCAGGAGCACAGACTGGAGCACAGGACGAAGCACATTGCTCTTCGCTACTTTCTTGCTCGAGAGCTTCAGCAGCGCGGTCAGCTTCGGCTTGTGTACGTGGACTCGAAGGCCAACACTGCTGATATCTTCACCAAGGCGCTCCCGCCTAGTGATCATCAGCGGCACTGTACTTCTTTAGGCCTTGTGTCCACGTTTCCTCACTTGCTCACTACTTGACATTCTTTGTACTGTACTTTATATTTGTCTTGCTGCTTGTCCTGTTCTATATCTAGCACTACATGTGAACTGGCCTTGTGGCCTTTGTTTGTGCTCGGAGTGTGGTGACGTTGTGATCCACCCTGAGCTTGTTTTTGCTTTGCTGGACTGGTCTTGTGACCCTTTGCTCTCCCCCACTTTGCCTATGGGGGTGTGTTAAGTTGTAATGTGTTATTTATATGTAGGTAGGCTGTAGTGGGGTAGCCAATACAGGGTACAAACCCAACTAGGGTTAGCTACTTGTACCCAACTGTTTCTTTCAATGCACTCATTCTTGCCTAGTTCTGTTAACACAGAGCACCACAATTTTCGCCCAATCACAGCAAAATCGCCCTGACAGAGCACATTCGCCTTCGCACCACAAGATTCGCCCTGTCTGAGCAAATTTTATCGAAAATCCCCTTAGTGTAGCATGTTTCGGTAGCAGATGAATGAAACATTGACTACACTTCCGATGAAACATTGAATACATTGATTTTGAATTATCAGACTTTTCATTTTAGACACTCTGACATTTCAGCCTTTTTTTTATACCAAGTCTGAGATTTTCAGACTAAAATTGTGTACTAGTCTGACGAATCAGACAGGCCTAAAACGAATCTGAGGGCCTGGTTGTCATTCGGTTGAGCTGGTTACATAGTTACAGGGTTACAATGGCTCTGGCGAAGCCACTCAGGCTTGTGGTGAGGGGGAGAAAGGCAGTGGTGGGGGCTGTAGGATGGCGGCAGAGGGTGATACAGTGGTGACTGTAGGGGCCTGAGCTGGCTATATCTCAAAAGTGCATTGCTTCGCTCATACGATTCAGCACAGAATGGCAGTCAGAGGAAGGGACAGAAAGGCCACTGGGGAGTTTGGTCTTCTCACTTGGGGTGTTCCAGTGGGTGCTGTGGGAGTTCCAGCGGGTACTAATGAGCTCCAGTGGGTGCAGGGGAGTTTCAGTGGGTGCGGGGGGGAGGGGGGGAGGGGGGGGGGTTGTGCAGGGGGAGTTCGAGTGGGTGCAGGGGAGTTCGAGTGGGTGCAGGGGGAGTTCCAGTGAGTGCAACGGCTTGAGCTGGATTGTGTAATGGTACGTACATTCCAAGTTTCTGTTCAAGCAATTTCTGCAACCTGTCAAGGGCTTGCTTCATGCATCTTGTCTTATATTACAATATTTGTGTATGTTTTGTATTGTGTATACTGCCGTATCTATGCCGTATGTGTTTTAGGGTTTGTTTTGTTTCTGAAACTGACAGTGAGACTGTGCTCAAAACCCACAATTCATTGCTATAAACACACAACAAAGGAGCGCATAAAAAAGGGAGCACTTATTTTAGTGGTATGATTTTCAATGTTTCTCACTTTTAGTTCCACTTAGGCTTGTTATTTTTGTTTCTGGGAGGTGAAAGTGCACAATATTATGAGATTATACAATGCGAAACACCGCCCGTTCTGACTTTCGCATAAATTGCAGGAGGGGGTTTGAGGTCGGCGAAAACGGACACATCACTTTGTTCCTCAGAGGCTTTTACGAAATATTCGCACACGTCATCTTCTCGTAACGATGGTCTTCGTCTTGTCGCCTAGTCATATTTGTTTGCCCTGTCCACCAGGGAACCTTTTTCATGCGAACAAAACTGCTGTTCGAGCGAAACCGGTCACCTCGTCATAGCGTGCGAAATCGGTCACCTCATCGCTGCAATTTGTGCAATGCATCCTGGACATCAGGACGCGGCGCGCAGTCGAAATGCAAATGCAGTTGCCTTGAGAAAGAAACCAATCTATAAAATGTGCGCCTCGCGCTGTGCTCCTCTCATGTGTTGATTCTTTTTTTGATCGGCAACTTGCTCCAGATCTAGCTTTCTTGCGACTGCCAAGGGCTAACTCAGCCTCATTTTCTCGCCTTTTCTGCACTCTCAAAATAAAGGCGAGAAGGCTCTGCCGCAATGGCTGCCGCTGATGCACTTCCTGGCGGATGGTCTGCTAGCGGATTCAACACGACCCAGAAGCTCTTCCCCAGTCCAACCTCTTCAAGCCTAGTCGACTTTTCAAGTCTGGTATCAACCAACCCGCATTTTATCATCACAGCCGTGGTCGCAGCCCTCGCCTCTCTCATTTCGACGTCCTGGCTTTCTTTTCTCCGCCGCCGTCGCTCCCTCCCCCCCGGCCCTTTCCTTTGGCCCATCCTCGGCAACCTTCCGGACCTGGGACCGCTGCCTTTCCGCTCTCTCGCGAAGCTGGCCGACAAGTACGGCCCGATCCTGACCGTCTGGTTCGGTTCCACGCCGTCAGTGGTGATTTTGTCGCCGGAGCTCGCTCGCGAGGTGCTTAAGACGAAGGATAAGCTCTGCTCGTCACGCCCGCTGACTCCCACCGTGGCAATGCTCACTCTCGACGGCAAAAACATCTCGTTTTCGCCACCCAACGACCATTTGCGAAAGACGCGACGGATGGCGACGCTGCAAGAGAGAGCCTTCCCGTGCGAGAGGGAGAGGTTCGCGACATGCTCGATGCGATCGCTGCTGACGTGGCTAGTACTGCTGACGAAGCTACTGCAGATCGGACTGTATCGGGCGTTACTACTTACGTTATTAGCTGTGCTGCTGCTGGTGCCGTGAAATCTGGTGCCGCCGCAGAGGATGGGATCGAGGTGCGAAGGTATTTGAATCGCGCTACGCTGAACAACATTCTCCGCCTTGCTGTTGGGAAGCGCTTCGGCTATTCGTCGATTCGCGGCGCGTCGGGCACCACGCCGAAGGCGATTCTCGACGCCGCGATGCGCATCGACTGGAACGAACGCATCGCCGCAATAAGTGGCGAGAACCGCGGCGGCGGCGCCCGCGGCACTGCCAACGCGGCCGCCGCAGCTCCAGCTACGAGGTCTGAAGTTTCCGCGGCAGTGGAAGAAGATAATTCGAAGCTACTATTTCCTCTGACAGAGGACGTGGCGCGTGATAAGTCGTCGTCTTTGGCAGAGAAGGCGGAAGGCGAAGTGGCGTTTGCGATAATCGAAGAGGGTTTTGCAGTTGCAGGAGCATTCAATATCGCGGATTACGTGCCGTGGCTGAGTTACTGGGACCCGCTGCGCATGTACGCGCGCGTGCAGCGCCTCGCGCCGCAGCTACACGGATTCATGCGCGCATGCATCGAGGAGCGACGTCAGATGGTGCTGCAGAAGAGAAATCGTGCAGACGGTAGCGGGACTGCACTCGTTGACGTGCTATTTGAGATGGAAGGGGAAGGGGAGGATGAGATTGATGAAGACGAGATGCTGATGCTCGCGATTGATATGATGATGGCCGGGACTAATGCCACTTCCAAGACCGTGGAATGGGCGCTTGCTGAGCTGGCGCAGCACCCTAACATGCTGGAAAGGCTGCGCGCTGAGGTGGATGCGGCGTATGCCAGGTCAGCGGCAAGTGCAGCTGCCAAAACTGGGGCAGCTGCAGTAGCAGGCTGTATTAAAAGAAACACTTAGGAATCGCCCAATCGCTCCGCTCCTACTTCCCCACCTGACAACTGGGAGCGTAAATATTGGTGGTTACCACATTCCTCCCAACACCATGGTACAGATCAATGCGTGGGCTCTCGCGCACGATCCAACGGTCTGGATCAACCCGCACGAATTTGATCCCTCCCGGTTCCTTGATCCAGCTGCCCCTGAAGTGACCGGGCAAGATTTCAGCCTGCTGCCCTTTGGCTCGGGCAGGCGTTGGTGCCTCGGGATGAACTTGGGTTTGGACCTGTCAGCCCGCCTGCTGGCAAATTTCGTTCCGCGGTTTGATTTCAAGCTGCCCGAAAATGTTAGGGCAGCTGGAGAAATGGACATGACGGAAACTTTTGGCCTGACCATGTCTTTGGCTAAGCCACTCAGGATTGTGGTGAGCGAGAGAAAGGCAGGGGTGGCGGAGGTGGTGGCTTCAGCAGGGTCTTGAGTGAGCCTGCAAGGTTTGAAATGGTTACCATGAACCATGAACGCATTTTGCACATGCACACGTGCACAGTAGCTCATCTTATTTCTGACGAGTGTATGGAGGAGAGAGTGCTGCCATGGAAGAGTGTGTGCAGTTGCTTTCTTTATCCCCTGCTTTTTCCTTGCTTGCGTGGATGGGTGTGTTCTAGCCATTGTAAGAAACTTTTGTGATGGAATTTATAAACACTAAACCCTTAACTAGTGGTACCGGTTTTTGAAACGTTCCAATGCTAAGGATGCTGTTTGGCCGTACAAAAACCTGTTGAAGGTTCTGGTTTTCGTGTTTCCCATGCACAAACCCTGCACTGGAGAAAAAGTTGTGACCCTCAACATGAAGAAGCAGTGACCAATCCCTTGCAAAGCACTGATTGCAGGTACATTCCTGCAAAGACATGTCTTCGTTTGAGGCGTCACATCACAAAAGCAGCGTACCACCATATCGAAGCACACACCACGCCACAACTCACTCCCCACAATTCATCATAAAAGCAGGTCACACACAACAACCAGAGTAAGACTCCAGTCTCTCACTCATGGTCCATGCTCCCTGGGTGATTTCTGATTCCACCTCGTGAAAAACGAAGCAGTGGAGAATCGATAGCCCCCTCGCTGCTCCCCATCTTCCATCCCTCCCCCCTGCTGCCCCTGCTGCTCCTGCTGCTGCCCCTGCTGTTGCCCCCCCTGCTGCCCCACCTGCTGCTGCCCCCCCTGTTGTGACCTCCCTATCCCAGACCCCCCCGTCCCCCCACCCGTCCCCCCTGTCCCCGAACCCCTCCCAGCCTCTCTCAACCCCTTTGTAGGACTCGTCACCTGCACCATCCCCCCCTGTGGCGCTAGTTTCGGGCTCTGCATTCCAACCTTGGGATTGTGACTAGAGACCTTGGGACTCTGACCAGCCATTTTGGGGCTGCGAAGCAGGCCTTTCCCAGACCCTGCTTTCCCCAACAGCCTCTGTGCTTGGAGGGACTCCCCTGTTGCTGCTCCTGCTGCTGTTCCTCCTCTTCCTGCTGCTGCTGCTGCTGCTGCTGTTGATGATGCTGGTGGTGGTGGTGCTTTGGCTGGTTGTGTGGCCGCTGCTGTTGCGTTTCTAGGGGAGCCCCAGGGACGATTGGTGGGTGGTCTTATACCCGGTGTGCTTATACTGGGTGGGCTAATACCGGGTGATATTAATGTTGGGGACACAAGGTTGTGCGGATAGGACGAGGAGGAAGATACTTCTATAGCAAATCCTGTTGTTGCTCCTCCTGCTGCTGCTCCTCCTGCTCGATTTAAAGCCTCTGTTACTGCTGCTGCTGCTGCAGCTGCAGCTGATCCTATGTCCCTGCCCCTGTCTCGCTCCCGGTCCCGTTCTCTGTATTCTCTTTCCGTAAGGCTGCTGCTGCTGCGACCCACGCTTGTGCTGGTAACCGCAACAGCACTGTTTGTTCCACTGCTGGTAGCAGTTAGGGCTGAGCTGCTGCCACCAACACTTAGCGCTCGACCGAACCCAGACTGTGATGTTGATACCACATCACTTTTATTAGAAGCACTAGCACCAGCAGCAGCAGCAGCAGTACCACCACCACCACTAACACCACCAGCAGCAGCACCAGCACCACCACCGGCACCACCAACTGAGGTTCCTGCAGCTTTAGCAGCGTTGCGGGTGCGTGGCTGCACCTGCCGCAGCAGATAAGACAAAACTCCACCTGAAACCACAGCTGAAGAATCACCTGAATCTGCAGCTGCTGCGTCTCTAGGGGAAATCCCGGTTAACGGACTCGCATGGTGGTGGTAACCATCACCGCTACCCCCACCAGGGTTCCCACCACCTGCGCCTCCATCAGAACCACCTCCCCCGCTACCAGACAAAACACCCAACAACCCACCACCGCCAGCACCATCCTCCTCGCCCACCCCATTCACAGCCGCCGATTTGATCCCATACCCCAATTTGACCCCATACCCCAATTTGACCCCATACCCCGATTTGATCTTCTCCTGTGCAGCAGCAGGGGCGGGGGACGCAGACGCTTTAGCCCGGGGCCGGGAGCGAGTGGAGGGGAAGAGCAGGGCTAGGCGGGGGACGAAGAGGAAGGTGAAGGGGGTGAGAACGAGGGAGAGAGCGGTGGTGCCCATGAGTAGGAGGTAGAGCTTGTGGCCCACGAGCTTGAGGGTTTGAGCGCGGGAGAGGAGGACGAAGGAGAACTCTCCGATTTGGGCGAGGGCCACCCCGACTGATGCTGCTGTGCCGGTGCTGTAGCCAAACGCCCGAACCTGGTTGGTTGGTCCGAGAGTGGGAGCGGGAGGGAGGAAAGGAGGAAGGGACATTCTAAAGCGGAGCGCAAACCACAGAAGGTGAAGGGGTTGACAAGGCAGGCCTTGGAGACAAACACGACAGCGACGGCAGCAAGAAGGACGTCGATGTGCTGCCAGAGGAAGAGCGACCCTTCACACCTCTCTCCACACATAACCACCCCTCACCAGCACTACCCGTCACCACCACTCACCACGAATCCAACAAGGCAGGCCTTGGAGACAAAATGGACAGCCACAGCAATGAGGAGGATGTCAATGTGCTGCCAGAGGAACAGCGGGTGCATGACCATGCCTATGCTCGCCAGGAAGAGAAGAGAGCCAGGGGGAAGCAGGCAAAGGAACGTCTCTATGCACCCCTCACCACCGCTCAGCACCACTCACCACAAACCCAATGAGGCAGGCCTTGGAAACAAACACCACAGCAACGGCAATGAGGAAGATGTCGTGTCGATGTGCTGCCAGAGGAAGAGCGGGTGCATGACCATCCCTATGCTCGCCAGGAACGGGATCAGCCAGGGAAACGCCTCCTCACTAACCCTAACCACCCCTCACTACCACTCACCACAAACCCAATAAGACAGGCCTTGGATCAAACACGACAGCCACAGCAATGAGGAGGATGTCAAGCCCTCACCCCTCACCACCCACCACCCATCACTACTCCTCACTTCCACTCACCACAAACCCAATGAGGCAGGCCTTGGAAACAAACACCACAGCCACCGCAATGAGGAGGATGTCGATGTGCTGCCAGAGGAAGAGCGGGTGCATGACCATGCCTATGCTCGCTAGGAAGAGCACACAGTGCCAGGGAGAAGCAGGTAGGCGAGACCAGGCTCGTCACACCCCTCACCACCCCTCACTACCACTCACCACAAACCCAATGAGGCAGGCCTTGGAAATGAAGACAACAGCCACCGCAATAAGAAGGATGTCAATGTGTTGCCAGAGGAAGAGCGGGTGCATGACCATGCCTATGCTCGCCAGGAAGAGCGCTGCAAAGAGGTTGCGTATGGGCTCCACTTGGTGTAGAGTTCGCTCGCTGTAGCTGTTGCCTGGAAGCGGATCGGGTGGGTGGTTGGGATGGAAGGGCGAGAGGGTTATAGCTTGCACTGCACCTGCTCGCCAGGAACAGCACTGCAAAGAGATTGCGGATGGGCTCCACTTGATGGAGTGTGCGCTCGCTGTAGCTGTTGCCCGTGGGTGAGGAAAGGGGGAGAGAAGGAGGGTGGAGTGAGGGGGGAATGGGGAGGGAGTGGGTGCATGACCATGCCTATGCTCGCCAGGAAGAGCGCTGCAAAGAGATTGCGGATGGGCTCCACTTGATGCAATGTTCGCTCGCTGTAGCTGTTGCCTGGTGGTGGGTGGGGTGGGTGGTTGGGGGAGGAGGAAGGAAAATTGATTGCTTAGAATGCACCTAGGGTTTGCCTGCAATAGCTGTTGCCTGGAAGGAAGGGAGGGGGAGAGAGGGTGGAGTGAGGGGGGAATGGGAAGGGAGCAGGGGGAGGAAGCGGGAGGAGGCAGCAGCAGCAGGAGAAGAAGAGATGAGAGAAGGCCCACCTGAGAGCATGAGGCCAGCCACAAAAGCTCCGACCTGCAGTGACAGTCCGAGCCCCTCAGAGAGCAAAGCGATGCAGAGACACACGGCCACCACCCCTAAGTGGTAGATCTCACTGTTGAACGACCCGCGCGCCAGGTGCAGCAGCAGTGGGAGGTGAGAGGAGAGAAGGCTTACCCGAAAGCATAAGGCCAGCGACAAAGGCTCCCACTTCAAGCGACAGTCCGAGCCCTTCAGAGAGCAGAGCGATGCACAAGCAGACTGCCACCACGCCCAGGTGATATGATAGTTTTCACTGTTGAACGACCCGCGCGTCAGGCGCAGCAGCAGAGGGAGGAGGGAGGAGAGCTGGCTCACCTGAGAGCATGAGGCCAGCCACAAACGCCCCGACTTCGAGTGACAAGCCGAGCCCTTCAGATAGGAGGGCAATGCACAAGCAGACCGCCACCACGCCTAAGTGATAGATCTCACTGTTGAACGAGCCGCGCGCCAGGCGCAGCAGCAGCGGGAGGAAGCGCGGCACGAAGAAGCGGGCGAGCAGCCAGGCGATGAGGGCGAAGGCGAGGAGGATGAGGAGCTCTCGGAGGAGAGCGAGCAGGATGGCCGAGGCAGAGGCGGGGCGGGCGGCGAGGGCAGGCATTATTGCGAGGAGCAGGCCGAGAGCACAGTCCTGAGAGATAAGCGTCCCTAGCATGATCTGAAAAGGAGGAGAGGGGAGTAATGAGGGGGAGAGGAGCTGGGTGATGAGGTGAGGGGCGAAAGTGACAGATTGAGGGCGCAGTCCTGGGATATGCGCGTTGGATTAGAAACGAGAGGCAGGGGACACGGGTGGGAAGGGAGGGGGAACGTGGGACGAAAATGCAGATGAGGAGCCAGGATAAGAGGGCAAACCTCCTCCTCCCGTACCTTTCCCCAAACGAAGCCAACCAACACAATGCTACCCTCTCCCGTCCCTCCCTGCCCTCCCGTTCCCTCCCTCCTCCCGTCCTCTTCCCCAAGCTCAGCCATACCTGCCCATGCTCGGTGCCCATGCTGTTGATATCCATAAGACATTTGAGCACCACCGCTGTAGACGACATGGAGAGGAAGCCCCCGATGAACAGCCCCTGGGGCGTGTTGGAGCTCACGATGCCGCCCAGCACCATGGACAGCTCATATTCCCTGCCTCCCCACCTAGCACACCCAGACCTGCAACTGCTGCCTTACCTGCCCATGCTCTGTCCCCATGCTGTTGATATCCATCAGGCACTTGAGCACCACAGCAGTAGACGACATGGAGAGGAAGCCCCCGATGAAGAGCCCCTGGGGCGTGTTGGAGCTGACGATGCCGCCCAGCACCATGGACAGACCGATCTGAATGATGCCGCCCGCTAGCGCCACCGCTTGCACGCCCTGCATGCGAGCTAGGCTAAATTCAACTCCGATGGCGAAGAGCAGGAAGACCACCCCGAATTGAGCTAGGGTTTCCACCTGCGGATGACCAAGAGAGAGGGAGGGAGATAAGGACTAAGTGAGAGATTGACGACGTGCACTCCTTGCATGCGGGCGAGGCAGAACTCAACCTCGATGTTGAAGAGCAGGAAGAAAGATGGACTGCCCCACCATCCCACAGACGAGCCCTTCCTGTGGCATTCAGTGTATCAGTGCACAGTGCACCTCACTCACAATTTCCTCACCTGCACGAGCTCGTGAATAAGACCAAATCCTCCCGGTCCAATGATCATCCCTGCAACGATGTAGCCCAGAATGATCGGCTGCCCCACCAGCCCACACGCAAGCCCGCCCAGTGCCGCCGCCACAATCACCTTCACCACATCCGATATAAGCATGAAGTCCTCCTGCAGCTGCATCTTCGACCCCTTACCGGGGCTGCTTATAACGTACTCATTGTCCTGCGAGTCTATCAGCCTCGGAACATCGTTCTCCCCCTCATCCACCCTCTCCGATCTCTCCTTCTCCCTCGCCCCCCGCCCTGCCCTCTCTGCAAACCGCTTCTTAGCTGCAGCCAGCCTCGTCAGATTCTTCACTCGGGGCCCGGGGGAAGGTGCAACTGGGGGAGGTTGTTTCCCGCTGCTATCCCGCCCAAACACCAGGTCAAAAAGTGATACTTCACTTGCTTTCACGCCCTGACTCACCACCGCCGCCACTGCCGCCACCCCTTTCTTTTTCGCCTTTTTCTCCGCTTCCGCAGCAGCCATGGCTAGCGCTACCTGCTCCAGCTGCTTCATCTTCTCCTGTGCTTCCTCCCTCTCTGCTTCCTCTAGCACTTGCCGGTCCTCCTGCTCCTCCCGCTGCTCCCTCTCCTTCACCTCTTCCAGCACGTGGTGTTTACCCACCCGCGCGACTGTTTCCAGAACTGCCTCTTGTTTTTCGAGGGTTTTGTTGAACTTACCCCCCTCGTCCTCCATATCATCCAGCCTGTCGAGGATTCGTCCCACCAGTTCACCCACGTCGCCACCCTTCTCACCACTGGTCTCATTCGTTTTAGTCACACTTGGCTTAACAGCCCCATTCTCGCCCTCCTTTGTAGCACCAGTGCTGGCTGTGGTACCTGCAGCTGCCTGTGAAGCTCCGTTAGAAGCACCTGACGCGCTATGGCTGGCCTCGTTACTAGCACTACCGCTATCCCTGGCAACACCATCACCAGCAGCAGCCCCACCAGCACCAGTTGTGTTCGCTCCACCACCACCACCACCACCAGCACCAGCACCACTGGCACCGCTTTCACTAGACGACACCCCCCCCCTCGTTTCCGCCAAGTGACTCCAATCATCACTCCGAAACTCCCGCCTCGTCACCTGTCGCTTCCTCTCCGCCCCCCTCTCCCCCTTCTTCCTCTCCTCCTCCTCCTCCTCTTTGATCTCCTCGTCGAGATCCTTGCTTTTAAACAGCCCCTTTAAAGGCATAAGCAGAGGAATATCGTCTTCGTCTAGCTGCGTCTGTGCTACCTCTCTCTTCCCCTTCCCGTTGCTCCCGCTGCTCCCTTGCTGCTCTCCCTCGCCACCTCCCGTGCCTGCTCTGCCGGTTTTATCACTCCCCGTCCCACCTTCCCCTGCTGCAACTGCTACAGCAGCTCCACCGTTGTTGTTGCCACCGCTGCTACCGCCACCACTGCCGCTGCTCTCACCAGCCCCGCTATTCGCCGCCCCTCCGCCTCCCCCCGCCTCTTTCCGCGAGAGACCATTCGCGAATCCTCTCAGTCCCCCCTCCTCATGATCGAGCCTGTCTAACGGTACGAATTCCCGCGCGATTTTCTCGCTCCTCTCTGCGTTCCAAAACCATCCCTATTCCCATCCCCGCGTGCTCCCTCTCCGCCTTCTGCTTCTCCGCATCGTCCCCGCCCATGAACTGCTGCCATAGTCTCCGCCTGAGGCTAGTGTCCTGGCTTCCGCCACTCCCCCCCTTTCCGCCACTTCCCCCCCTTCCGCTTCCGCTTCCGCCGCCTCCAATTGTACCTGCGATTTTGCTCGCACGAATCGAGTCGTCGTTTTTGCTCTCTCCATTGATGATAGACGGTAGCAAACTCTCGTTAGTGCGTCTCCGCGTGTGGTCACTCTGTGCTACAAACGTGAAGGTTGTCAAACGGCGGGATTGAAGATTAGGGTTACTGGAAACACTAGCTAAAGGGGACTTCAGTGCCGAATCGTCATCAGCTAATATCGAAGCAGCACTACAACGGGTGAGTAAGAACGCAAGGGCAAGTATAAGGTACAATGGTATGAAGAAAGTGTTAATCCTATGATTCCGGTGACAGAACTGAGGAATTCTCGTCAGCTTTGTACAGCTTCGAGACATGTCATCTGCGAGCGCTTATAGCGAGGATCCAGTGCACTCTAGGTCGGAATGGAAAACGAGCCGTCGCATGCGCAAGCAGACAATAGCAGATTCCCTCCTACGGCATCACAGCACTCCCCATTGCGAGGAGAATGCCGGCAGTGACATACTGACGCCAGCAACTGGGAGCAACGGGAAGCAGCCTGGAGCTTTACAATGGCGTACAACGACTGTAACAGTCTGGGACTTAACGCCGCACTTGTGGCCTAGTCGAGAATGCAATCTGTGAGGCTACGGCATTTAGAAGCTTGTAAGAGACTGGAACACAGCGAAACACGGCGAAACTGGTCGTCCCAGCGCGGCACACAGCGATTTGGTGCTCGCTGTCAGCTGGAGGTAGATTGGCAAATGCGATCAACTGCGCGTGAACAAATGACGGTAATCCAGGTGACCTGTTGACAGGACGGCAAGAGATAAGGTATTTGCTGGTTGCTTGGCTACTAATGAATCTGTCAGACAAACCGCCGTTATGTAGGCAGTTGTGTCCAGATTCCGAGATTCTTCTCAACTATAACGTTCTCAGTAAGAGTTTTATCCACACCTAAACACTCTACGGACATTAATGTTTAAATACATCCTTGAGGCTTGAACTTGAAACTACATAGCGCATCCACAAGAAAGTAGAATAATTATGACATATAAAAGAAATATGATTCTATGCTAATTATTTGCACCAATTGTGAAACATCCTGCAAACATTGAGCATTTCAGATTTATGTGTTGTCATACTGCGTACCATTCCTCTCAACAACGCGTCATTCAACAAAAGCGGTGAAGTCAGCACCTGAACAACTTCACCGCCTTCCCTACCGAAGATGGCGCAGGTGCCTTTTCTGATGCTTGCGCCGCTGCCACAGGTGATATCCGCCCTACTCGAACCGTCCATTCATTCGCAAATCATTATTCACCGTTCGATTGAGAGGGAAAGCCCTCTCAGGTTGCGCCAGCAAGCTTCTCCAGTTCATCAGGCAGGGGAAGGCATTTTCCCCAAATCGCCGTCATTCCCGTCGAGCAGATAGGATCAAGCCAAGCCATGTTGTTGCTGCTGGCTGAACTACGACGAGAGGAGTCATGAATCAAGGCCCAGAAATCGCCACTCAATCACAAGGGACTTTGCGGTAATCATGGCTTGGCCCCGCCAGCCACCCTCAATCGCTTTCCCTATCTCATTGCTAGCCAGTCAACCACACATCGCTGACTTTTTTGCCAGCTGAAGGCCTCTCAGGAAACCATGCAGGATTCTTTCTAGCCTAGACTGAGGTCATCCCTCATCGGCGTTCTGAAACGTGTTCCTTTGCCCAACCCAGAAGCCAATCCACTGCCGACTGATAAGCCAAGACTCAGTCGCTCTCCAGCTCCAGCTTTCGTATCCATCTGGCAGCACTCCGTCGTGCATAGCTGCATACGTATCTCAACTAGGTTCAAGCCAGTAGGTCGTTCAGCATTTTTTTCGTGTTAGGTATCCCAAACGTCTACCAGTATGTCGCCTGTCAAACCAGCGTCGAGGTTACAATCGGTCGGCGTAGGGCTGCTCGCCATCATAACAGCCTTCCTTCTCTTCTGGCCCGGCCCCGGTGATGTTCCCCGGCGTCGCCTCGCCCTCAAACCTCAAAACATCAAGCCGCTGCTCAAGAGCCCGTTGAAAAGGTTCAGCAAGAGCTTCAGCAAGGGCGTGCAGGACATGCTGAACAAGCTCAAGCAGCGCGACCGCACGATGGCCAAGTTCGTTGGCAACAGCGTCGAGACGATGCCGATCAGCGTAAACCTGACGCAGCGCGGCGTGCTGCTCGCGCTGAAAAAGGCCTGGGGAGGGAATTTCTACCAGTCGGAAACGTGGCTGGAGTCGGCTCAAGACGAGCTCTGGTGGGGTGTGACGATTAACGAATTCGGATCTGTTACAGCGTTGGAGTTACCACGTGCGGAGATCGCCGGCCCGCTCCCGTTGCTGCTGACGAAGCTCACGGGGCTGACCGCGCTGGACCTCAGGGGGAACCATCTGAGAGGGAGCATTCCCAAAGGGTTACTCGCGGCGTTACCCGGTCTGCAGTCGCTGTACCTCAGCGATAATAACCTTGTTGGCGAGTTTCCTTTTAACGAGGTTTTCAGGAAGCCGGTTGTTCCCATGGCGATGTTGCAGATTGACGGTAACGTCTTCACGGGGACCATCGCCGACGACGTTTTCGCGAATGCGACGGCGCTTCAGTCGCTTGGCCTCTCCGCCAACAAGTTCTCTGGAGTAATTCCCTCCAGCCTGGGCAACTGTCGGCAAATCTCAGCCATTGATCTGAGCGACAACCAGTTCACGGGGCAGATTCCAGGAAGCATAGCTGGCCTCCCTGCCCTGTCAATCTTTGACGTCGGTCAGAACAAACTTTCCGGGGTCATCCCGGATTTCTTGGGCAACTTCCCCAACATGATGAACCTCGATCTGAGCGACAACCAGTTCTACGGGGTCGTTCCGGCAACCTTTTCCAAGTTCGGGCAGACATTGCGGGCAGTGAAGCTGGCCAACAATTATCTCACGGGTCCCCTGCCTCAATTTCCGAACCTTGGCCAGGGCTGTGGCTCTCCGGGTCCCGACGGCTCCGACAGCATCTCGTGCTACATGTTCAGCGTTCTCCTGGACTTTTCGGGAAATTATTTTGAGGGCAGCACGCAGTTGACTATTCAGGTGCCCGGGTCGGAGGACTACCCTGGCACATCTCAAGTCTGCCCAGCTGATTATCCTGAGAGGATTCTTGTGGAGGGTAACTGCCTGACGACTGACGGTGTAGGGGATGCAGAATGTACGGCTGACGGTCAGAAGCTTCCTGAGGAGTGTAGCGCATTCTGCGGAACTGGGACTCCGGTGGGGCAGTGTGGAGGCAATGGGGTGTGTGTTGTGGATACGTCAGTGGCAGCAGCAGCCAAGCCAAAATATGTGTGCAAGTGTGATAATGGGTTCCAGGCTCCTGCTGGTAATCCTTTGACATGTGTGGCGGCTGCTTGAGAAGCTCCTCCACCCCAGCCATGTGTGGCAGCTGCTTGAAGAGTCCAGGCTGAGTTACCTTGGGGAGATGCACTCACACTGTCTATCAGTGTAACGCCCCAACGCATGCGTCTATTGTAATCTTGCTTGTATTTTCATGTTGTACACATATTTCATTGTGATGAAGGTTCTGGAAATAATCAATGATGTGCGTAGATCAACAATGAATTTACTCTAGTAAATTGAGGTTTAGGTTTGAGTGTAGTCCATTTTTAGATGTAATGCAGGCAATAACTTTTGTACTTCACTTGGCTCTCGAGTGTACAATCTACACATTACTTTTAATGTTCCGAATCGCGTTTCTTCGGGATAATATTGGTGCGACCAACCAGATGCTGGATCATCCCGAGGGACCAGCTTCCCGCTTTCCGAATTCCCGAGATTCGTTTCGGCTCAAGTTGAGAGTTCCAAGCTTCTCAATTTCAATTCAACGTCCCGATACGACAGATACCTTCAGGGGTGTTAAAGCCAACTCCTTGTCGTTGCTTCAACCGTGTTCCTTGAGTCACGTATTGCTTCACTTCGATCAAACAGAAACATGTAAGCGGCTGTTTAGGCAATCCGTGTCCGCTCCAACTCCCTAGCTTTTCATTCACGAACATATCGTTTCTTCAGGTCGGAAGCCGTGGCAGAACAAGCTCCCCATGTGGTTGATGCTGCCCAGGAATCTGAAGATGAAGACGAAACTTTTGAGTCGATTGAGAAGTGTAGGCATCCAAACATTGAAAGACTTCAGATTTCTGTAACGAGGGGTTGACGTTCTCGACAGTGATCACGCAGGGAATTAATGCTGGAGACGTTAAGAAACTTCAGGATGCTGGAGTTTACACTTGCAATGGACTGATGATGTGGACAAAGAAGGTAGCTATATTATCAAGATTCCTATTTGTCTGGGGAATTGTGGTACCTTCGATACCCACCGTGCCTTTCTTCGCAGGCCCTCTGTGACATCAAAGGTCTTTCCGATGCCAAAGTCGAGAAGATTCTTGAGGCCGCGGGTAAACTAGTGGTGAGTTCCTTCACTATCTGGTACATTCGCATCTCGCAAAGGAAGCTTTAACCTATGGTTTGAGTCAATTTGGTTACAGAACTGTGGCTACGTTACGGGAAACGAAGCTCTCAACCTGGTAAGGATTCATGCTCACATGCACCATTAGCTTCATAAGTTGCGTGAACACCCACACTCATAGTCTATTACTTTCAGAGGAAACAAGTCGTAAGGATCACGACAGGAAGCCAGGCCTTGGACGATCTCCTTGGAGGTTCGCCGTCATGCATTAAAATTGTTTCTTCCTTTCTTCAGTAGGCCTCAAGACCATTGACCATGTCACGTTTTCAGGTGGCGTTGAGACTATGGCCATAACTGAAGCATTTGGTGAATTTCGGTGAGCCAATTGCTGTCCGTATATTTTTTTATGCTGCCCCACATGGTGGTATTGGACCTAACAGGATTCCGCCTTCCAGGACGGGCAAGACTCAACTTGCACACACATTATGTGTGGCCACACAGGTATGCTATGTGAAAGATGGCAGAAATAGTTGGAGAAAAACAACGTTTGCTAACTACCTGAACTATCCGCTGCGCAGCTGCCAATCAACATGAAAGGTGGCAATGGTAAAGTGGCCTTCATTGACACCGAAGGAACATTGTAAGTGATCATACAAGCAGAAGTTGTGATGGATGTACCAAGTTGCAAGTTACTTATATTTGCCTGTTTGTGAATCAGCCGTCCAGAGAGAATCGTTCCAATTGCCGAGAGGTTTGGCTTGGATCCAAATGCGGTGCTTGACAATGTAAGCAAATTCTTTTTCAAGTTAAGTTCGTGTATGTATGTTAGTCCGTGACACTGAATATCGTCGTAATGCAGATCATATTCGCTCGAGCTTACACGCACGAGCATCAATACCAGCTTCTCATTGCACTTGCCGCGAAAATGGCTGAAGAGCCCTTCAAGCTGCTGGTGAGAGCATCTTCGCTTCCCCTATGCATAACCGTGCAACATCTCTGCCACTTCCAATTATTCTAATCCCATACGTTTGGACAGATCATCGACTCTATCACAGCTTTGTTCAGGGTGGATTTCACGGGGCGTGGAGAACTCGCGGAGAGACAGGTAGGATACGATTTATTTGACCAACATAAACCAGTTACTTTTCCTGACACCGTTTCGTTCTTCAGCAAAAACTGGCGCAAATGCTCTCAAGAATCACGAAGATATCTGAGGAGTTCAATGTAGCTGTCTTTCTTACAAACCAAGGTAAAACAGTTGCCACTGACTCTAGTTCCAACTGAAGACTCGGCGTTCCAAACTGACTTGTCAATGCCTGCTGAATTGGCAGTTATTGCTGACCCCGGAGGAGGAACATTCGTAGCTGATCCCAAGAAACCTGCCGGAGGTCATGTGATGGCTCATGCATCCACCGTGCGGTTGATGTTCCGCAAGGGCAAGGGAGAGCAACGCATATGCAAGGTCATCGACTCTCCAAATCTGCCTGAGTCTGAAGCTACTTTCGCGATTGCCAATGGAGGAGTCGTGGACGCAAAGGATTGAGGACGCTTCACCGAGGAAGCAGGAACATTCCAGTTGCGGCTGGGTACTATGTTGAATATATATATGTCAGGAGTTTGGACAGTGTCAGGAGTTAGGACCGATCAGGAGGTCGACGCATTTGAGATTGTATTGCAACACACTCAAGCTTACTGAAAAAATCATACAAAACAACCTACGTGGTGATGCACAACAAACTATGTACACAGCAAACTCAAGCGCCGGAGCAAGAAGTGTCCGAACAAGCAAGAGCAAAAAATGGCACGGCATGCTTCCTAGCAGCTAGGCTACACTGGGAACCGTAGTCGCTTAGTTGCTATCACCCTCATATGGAGGTGGTGGGATTTCGAAGCCTGCCATGGCCACTCTCCTCTCTTCAACCGGCCACTGATGCTCCCTCTCCGCCGCTGTACCAATAGCTTCGACCACTCTTTGTGCCCCGTAGCTAAGTTGCGATTGAGTCTTCTCTGCTCCAGTCTGCAAGGTGGAGCACGGCAGCAAATGAAGTTCATGTTAAAATGCATGGAAACTGGCACATAGAAATGCACCACAGCATAAGCCCACGTCCTTACCTGGGCTGCTGAATGCAGATGTCCCCAGCACTCGTGTCTGTTATACTCTGGAATGTTTGAATGGAAGTGTACCCACACCAGCGCATCCTCGAGGTCTGAAAACAGGAAAAACAGAAATCGTGAGAACAACCCACTTCGCTTGGAACAGCCATGGAACAGTCATGACATGTGCTTATCAAAGGCATACCTGGGTGCTTATCAAAGAGTGCTCTGTCACCGTGCCTGAAAGCCTCCAAAACAACTGGGAGCTCTTTCCTGAAGATCCAGAATCTGAGAGCTGCAATGGCGTTCAGCAGGAAATGACCTCCACTGATATGGCAGTGAACGTGGAGTGACATGTGGCAGTCTGAGCCGTTGCAGGGATGCTCTGGGTGAACCTCTTGCCAAGGGTCCCTCAAGTAAGGTGAACGAAAATCTGCCAAGCTGCAGTGTTGGCGCCACACTGCAAGAACCTCGTCCCTCTGCAGCCGAGAGTACCAGCCCATGAACTGTACCATGCCATTGAAATAAAAGAAAAGAAAAAAGCAAAGAAAAAAGATTCGTGATTTCCACATCGACAAGTCCTGACAATAGAAACATGCTGTATGCAATGGACAAAAGAGATAAGAAAGTACTGCCTATTCCATCACGGTCTGATTCGAACTCACCTGGGATTTGTTGAATTCGTGAGCGATGGCGAGCGTGAGGCCAGCAGTGACATCCGAGTGGGTAAAAGTGTACATCCGGGGCAGTGGCGCGTGTGCGGGGTGCTGCTCTTCCTCTGCTCCCATAAACACCACCTGAAGCTTCTTTGACTCAAAGACTGCCGGGCCGAACAGCCTCGCCTGTGGAATTGAGGAAGTGGAAGGTGGAGCTAACAGGGAAGTTAGCTGCAAAACAAGAGGCAGAACTGTGAGGAAAACAAACAAAACTTTCCCAGGTTCAGCTGCATCGACTTGTGACCTAACCTCACCCACTAGACGACGCTCTTCAGAGGGAAACTACTCAAAAATGAAGATAATTCTGCAATACCTGAACGCGGGACTTAACAGCTGCCCCCATCACGTTCCTGCCTCCAGCAGTCAGCCGTGCCTGTCCAACACCAGCCATCTCCCCGCCCCTGAAAGACACCCCACGGCTAGAACTCTGAACGGCCACTGAATTCCGCCTAGGAGGTAGGGACTTAGCGGAATAAGGAGTGGCTACGCGCTTCTGACTCATGGTAGGTCCCGGGAAATGATTCCTGCTACCGCCAAGGAATTGAACCTCGGACGGAACAGGAGCCAAACCCAAGCTAGCCATGATGCCACTAGTGATGAATTCCTTTCTGTGACGGTCAGGGGAGGCTGTAGTAGCTACTGTTGCTGTTGGAAGGGAGAAAGGACAGGCTGCAGAGAAACTGCTGCTGCTTAGGCGTGATTCGTTCGTTCGTTCTGAAAGAGACTGGCGGCTTACGCAGAGAGGTTAAACGACAAGAGAAATTCGAGCTCCAGATGAGTTTGCGAATGGTTCCCGCAGCTACTTTTCTACGCTGCTTCCGCTTCTTGATTCGACCACGGAGCTCGCGTCGACGCCACAAGAGGCAAATCGAATTTCTTCTCGACTCCATCGGGACGCACGAACTTTTTGTCATGCGCACTTTCTAGGCTCATCACATGGCGAGTCGCGACGGGAAATAGAGCCAGATGTCAGAGTATAACTGTTCACCAGCTCACCACCTCACCACTCCACCAGCTACCCCAGCTCTTCTGCTCGCTATGCTACTGAGAAAGCAGAGCAGGCTCTAGCACCGACGTGGCGCGTGCTGGGGGTGTCATGGACGGGCACTAGCATGTCGCTAAGGCGCGCGTTAATAGCGAGGCGGTTGGGGCCGACACAAGCTCGCCACGTCAATTCGTCTCCGTGCTGCGCTGGAACCTATTTGCCCTCGCACATGTACTCGGTACAAGCGCTCGACGGAAAAAACCTTAAAAAAAAACATTCTGTAACAACAGTTTCAATGTATAGGCCGTTCTGAATCAAGTCAACTCGTTCTCTTCTCCCCACTCCACCCTCTCTGGCGGGGCTCATCCCTCCCGTCAGCAGCAGCCCAACCAGCCCACCCACGCGTTTCAATAATTCCATGTTCTGCTTTCAATAATGATACCCTTCTCTCCATTCCACACTTGCATTACTGCATCCTACAAGCCATCACCAATAACAGAATTCCAGAATGCAATGGTTCACGTTTTATATCCCAACAATCCTTACTCACAGTAACCGCACTATTTGGAAGGCTTACTATTACCCTTACCCTTCTCTCCTCTCTTGCTCGTCCCTCCCCCCTTTCCCTTCTCCCCTCCCTTTGCCTTTTTCTTTGCAGGCTCCTCTTCAGTGGGCTGTGCATTCTTGACGTATCTGACAGGCGGGATGACCACCCCCACTGGCTTGATCACCTGTGGGAACAACGATCAATACATGCACAGTGTGCACACAGTAAAGACACGGAGACTTATGAGAAACGGGGGGGAGTATTCAACCCCTGCGCTTGTTGGCTTGGCTCCTCATCAGTAGGCTGTGCATTCTTGGCGTATCGGACAGGTGGGATGACCAACCCCACTGGCTTGTTGACCTGTGGGAACAAACAACACACAACACACACAAAGTCAACACGAGAAAAGGAGGGAGAGTGTTCAGCCCTGCTCCTGCAGGCTCCCGATCAGAGAGTCATGAGTTCTTGAAGAATCTGGCACGGGAAATTACCAACCCCATTGGCTTTGTCACCTGTGGTAACATCATAGAACAAGTTTGGGTGATGATAACCATCCCCCACTCGATTATTGCCTTTTGAGTCGACTCAAAAGTCAACTCGGCTTTATCACCTGTGGTAACATCAACGAGCTTGGGTGATAACCACCCCCACGGGATTCTTGCCCTCCTGTACAGGCACTGCAGTCACTGCTGAATCTGCATTCACCAGTGCATTGGGGTTCAGTAGTTGGCCCTGTGTCTGCACTGCACCCAACGCCGCCTGCCCTCCCTCTGTAAGCAACCCTTCGCATTGAAGCTGCACTGCACCCACTGCAGGGCGGGTCATGGAGCAGAACGCTGCTTCCGTGTTCCCACGAGCCACGGACACTGCACATGCCTTCTCCCCCTAATGCTCTTATCTGTCCCTCACCCCTGTACGCACCTCTCACCTGCTCTTGCATGCACTGCACTCACTGCAGGGCAGGTCATTGAGCCAAACGCTGCTTGTGTGTTGAAGTCCCGGCAAATGGGATTAGCTGCTCCTTTTGGCTCCCCTAGCACTGGTTAGTTCCCCACTGAATTTGCCACTCACCGCTTAGTCTGCACTCACTGCAGGGCGGGTCATGGAGCGGAACGCTGCTTCTGTGTTGAAGTCCTGGCCAATGGGGCCGCAAATGCTCCTTTTCACAACTTTACCACTGGCAAGGCTGTCTAAGTGCGCTCACCGTTGTATCATTCAACCTCCTGTGCCTCCTGTGATGCTCCTTTTCACAACTTTACCACTGGCAAGGCTGTCTAAGTGCGCTCACCGTTGTATCATTCAACCTCCTGTGCCTCCTGTGATGCTCCTTTTCACAACTTTACCACTGGCAAGGCTGTCTAAGTGCGCTCACCGTTGTATCATTCAACCTCCTGTGCCTCCTGTGATGCTCCTTTTCACAACTTTACCACTGGCAAGGCTGTCTAAGTGCGCTCACTGTTGTATCATTCAACCTCCTGTGCCTCCTGTGATGCTCCTTTTCACAACTTTACCACTGGCAAGGCTGTCTAAGTGCGCTCACCGTTGTATCATTCGGCCTCCTATGCCTCCTGTAATTGCACACAACTCACCGCAGGGCGGGTCATGGAGCAGAACGCTGCTTCTGTGTTGAAGTCCCGGCCAATGAGGTAAGGTGCTCCTTCTGGCACCCCAGTGCCCCACTGAATCTGCACTCGTCCCTCTAGCGGCAGTGCGGCACTTCACCCATGTAAGCACACTCACTGCTGGGCGGGTCATGGAGCGGAACGCTGCTTCTGTGTTGAAGTCCCGGCCAATGGGGTTGCGGATGCTGCGCGCATACTCTGCCCGGTTGCGGAACATGTTGGGCAGCTCGGGCACAAAAAACTTCTCGATCTGCCCATGGGAGAGTGGGGGACGTTGAAAGGAGAAGAGGATAGGAGGCAATGGATTAGAAGGAATTACACTATTCATGAAGCAACAATGTCAGAAGGAATAGAGAGGCAGTGATGCATCTTCATTGCTCCTATGAAAGCAGAAAGCTACAGCCGCATGTAAGATGTTCAATCTTTCGTACAATACATAAAAAAAAAGTGACATCTCAAACATCCCAACAGGTGAAAGTATGCGTGAATGAATATGATACGGTCCTTACCTTCTTATTGTCCTTCTCCGATACAATCACGTGCTTCAGCTTCGAATCCGCCCTCTGCTTAACCGCATCCATCCTTCTCCTCTTCGCCTTCTCCCTCTCCTCCTCCACCCACTTCGGTGCCCCCTTGCGCCGCTGCACCTCCTCCCACTGCCCCCACCCTGGCAGCGTCACCGGCCCCTCCTCCCTCCCCACCTCCTTTTCCACCACTCGCTCTTTCTCCGCCTCGAATTCTGCTGCCACGTCATCCCCCGCGAAAGCCAATCGCATAAGCTCGTCTTGGTCTTTCTCGAACGCGCTCGCTCCGTTCCCTTCCTCTCCTCCTCCTTCTCCTCCCCCACTGGCCCGTCCCTTTCTCTTTGCCTACCTGTTTCTCCCCTCCCTCCCCCTCCTCTTCCTCCATCCCCATTCCTGCCCCTCTCTCCACCCTCTCCCCAGCATCCTCCCCCCATGCGTCGTCCTCCATATAAGCATCCCCCTTGCTCTCCAAACGCATCCCCTCGTTATAAGCCACGCCATCGTCTATATCCTCCTCCCCATCCTCCCTCTCACTCTCGCTATAGTCACCCTCCATAACCCCCACATCTCCTTTGACAGAACCATCACCCCTCTTTCCCCCCTCTCCTCTCTTCGCCCTAGCCCTCCCCTTTCTCTCTCCCCCCTCACCCCCTCCTTCCCTCCCCTCCTCTCTCCCTATCTCATCCTCCTCTTCCTCCTCCCCTCCCTCCATCCTCATCCCATTTTCACCAACCCCCTTATCCCCTCCACTCCCTGTGTGTCGCAGCAAAGACCCCAAACCCCCCTCCCCTGCTCCCGCCTCTCTTTTATTATCCCCCTTAGGAGGGGGCACTGACACGTCTACAGGGGCTGAAGCAGAGTTGTCAACAACGCTTAACTGCAGGAAAGGGAGGGGAAGGGCAGGAAGATGTTAGAGGGGGTGAGAGTGAGACTGCAAATCCCCCTCCCCTGCTCCTGCCTCTCTCTTATTATCCCCCTTGGAAGGGGGCAATGAAACGTCTACAGGGGCTGATGCAGAGTTGTTGACAACGCTTAACTGCAGGAGGGGGAGGGGAAGGGGAGAGATGTTAGAGGGGGTGAGAGCTGTTGGGAAGAGGCAACTGCAGGGAGGAGGGGGTGGGAGGGGCTTTTGACTCGACGCAAAAGTCAACTAGGTAACTGCAGGGAGGAGGGGGCGGGAGGGGCGAAGCAACGAACGTGCCGGCAAGGGGCTGTTTGCAACACTGTTATCAACACATAAGAATGGCCTTGCAAACCAACACAGTCACGCTAATTTTGAGGCGCCTCAAAGCAAGGGGCTGTTTGCAACACATAAGAATGAGAATCATGCAAATAGCCCCTTGAATAAGAATGACATTGCAAATCAACACAGCCACGCACTCACCCCTGAGAAGGAAAACCCTTTCCAGCTCCAAGCATCGCCTTTACCTGTCGTGCTGCCTCCTTTTCTTCCTTCAGGGAAGGAATAGAGTGATGCAAGTTGAGGCACTCACCCCCGAGAAGGAAAATCCTTTCCCAGCTCCAAGCATCGCCTTCACCTGCCGTGCTGCCTCCCTTTCTTCCTTCAACATCCTTCCCTCTCCCCTGCCTTCTCCCCTTCCCCCAGCCTTCACCCCACTCTTCCCCATTCCACCTTGCCTTCCTCCCCCACCATCCTCCCCTCCGCCTCCCCCTCCCTCCTCCTCCTCCTCTCCCTCCTCCCCTTCCTCTTCTCTCACGGCCACCCACTCGTCTCTCTCCTCCTGCCCCTCCCCTCCCACTACTCTCTCTCCTAAATTTCCAAACACCCTCCTCCCTCCTCCCACCCTCTCTCCCTCCTCCTCATCTCCCCATCCCCCTCCCCCACCCCACCCATCACCCCCACTTCCACCTCCCCCCTTTCCCCCCGTGCCCTCCCCATCCTCCCCGCTCCCATACTCTCTTCCAACCCCTCCTCTAGGTCCTTAATCGCCTCTATAGCCTCCTTTTGAGCTTCTAATCTCCGCCTCTCAATAGCCTTAGCCATAAACGGCAAAGCAAAAAGGCCACTCTTCGTTTGCCCATCCCCCTCCCCCCATCCCCTCCTCCTTTCCCTTCCAGCGCCCTCAATATTCTCGCCTTAGCACTCGCCACAAGCCGCCTTCCCTCCTTCTCCCCTCCCCCTCCCTTCCCTCCGGCCTCCTCCCCCTCACTCCCCCCAGACTCCCCTCCACTCCCCTCCTCTCCCCACTCCCCCTCCCCCTCCCCATCCTCATCCTCCTCATCCTCGTCCTCCTCCCCTCTCCCAATCGTCGCCGAGTGAATCTTTCTAGTCAGCATGGCATGCGTTCTAAGCTGCTCTGCTATCGCCTCTCTCGTGCCCTGCCCTCCGACCGCCGCTTTCGCCGCCATTCCCCTCTCTATAATCCTCTTCGCCCACTTGGAAGTGTTCTTATGTCGAAGGGTCATTCTCTCCTTAGCGCGTAAATACTCCTGCTTTATCGCTGCTTCCCTTGCTGCCTCCTTGTCCTCCCACTCCTCCTCCCCGCCCGCTTCCCCTCCCGCTGCAAGCCCCTTCTTTCGCTTCCTCTCTTCTGCTTTCCTTTCCATCTTGTGAAAGGTTTTGGATTTAATTTTCTTGACTCGCTTCGCCTTTGCTTCGTGCTGCAGCAGCAGCGATCGCATCTTGGCTAGTCGGTTCATCCTTTCCCTCGCTTCTTCCACCGACATCTGTGGTGGAGGGAAAGGGGCCGAAGGGGAGGGATAAAAAAGAGGGGGGGGGGGCAAGATGTGTACGAGAATTGGGCAGCAGTGGCAGCAGTGACCGCATCTCGGCCAGTCGGTTCATCCTCTCCCGTGCTTCTTCCACTGACATCTGGTGGGAGGGAAGGTTGAGGGACGGGAGGGATGGGAGGGCTGAGCAGCCAGCGCAGCAGCCCACAAGTTCTCCATTTCTGACTGTGGTTGGAACTTGTTGAGCAGCCTGTCTGTTGACTTGAGCGTTGGGGAGAGCTGGGACAGAGGAGGCACCTACCCTACTAGCCGCCGGCCCACTCAAGTGGCCGCCGGCCCACTGAACACGCACCACACCCACCTTGTTGAGAGCCAGTGCCTCTCCATGCGCGATTCGCCTGTCATCGCCAACACCTGCGGCCGCCAGCGCAGCAGCCACCTCTTTTTCCATCTCTGACTGTGGTCGAAACTTGTTGACCAGCCTGTCCGTTGACTTGAGCGTGGGCAGGGCGGGCATCTCGTCTATCAAGTTGAGGGAGGGCGCCTGGCGGTTCTGCTGCACCAGTGGGAGCCACTTGGCTGCTTCCTTACTAGAGGCCTTGTAGGCAGCCCTGAGAGGAGGGGGGATGGGAGGGGTGGGCAGGGCCGGCATCTCGGCTGTGAGGTTGAGGGAGGGCGCTTGGCGGTTCTGCTGCACCAGGGGCAGCCACTTGGCCGCCTCTTTGGAGGACGCTTCGTAGGCCGCTCTGGGGGGAGGAGGAGGGAGAGGGGGAAAGTAAGCAGTGGGGAGGGCGGGAAGCTCGGCTATGAGGTTGACGGAGGGCGCTTGGCGGTTCTGCTGCACGAGGGGAAGCTACTTTTCCGCCTCCTTTGATGAAGCCTCGTAGGCGGCCCTGAGAAGGGGGGGGTGAGCAAGCAGTGGGAAGCGACGGCATCTCGTCCATAAGGTTGAGGGAGGGCGCCTGGCGGTTCTGCTGCAAGGAGTGAGAGTCAGTGTGAGGAGCGCCGCACACCCGCACTCTACCCACAACCCCCAACCTAAACCCCAACTCAAATCCACTCACTTTCTCTCCAGTCTCTCTCGGACCACTGTTGGCAGGGGTCCCGTGTCAGGAGCGCCACTCGCCTCAACCTCAACCCAGCCCCAACCGCAAATTGCATCACTCACTTTCTCTCAAGCCTTTCTCGCACAACAGTAGGAAGAGGCCCCGTGTCAGGAGCGCCACTCGCCTGAATCCGCCTCATCTGCTTCTTCAGTCCTTCCGTCTCTAATCCCTGTACCAGAAACCCAGCCCACTCACTTCCTCTCCAGCCTTTCTCGCACAACTGTCGGAAGAGGCCCCGTGTCAGGAGCGCCACTCGCTTCAATCCGCCTCATTTGCTTCTTCAGACCCGCCAGCGCCAAACCTCCCACTCCCTACATTCAACCCAGAAGCGACTTTTGAGTCGACTCAAAATGTGTCGTGTGCCATGGTAACAAGGCGACTTTTGAGTCGACTCAAAAGTCACCTCGCACCTTCCACTCCCTACATTAAACCCAGAAGCCCAAATCACTCACTTTCTCTCCAGTCGCTCCCGCACAACAGTTGGAAGAGGCCCCGTGTCAGGAGCACCACTCGCCTCGATCCGCCTCATCTGCTTCTTCAGTCCCGCCAGCGCCGAACCTCCCACTCCCAAACCTGCCGCCGCCGAGCCTTCCGCCGAGCCTTTCGCCAAGCCTGACAGGTCAGCCCCAGCCTGCCCCAGCGGCCGAAGCAAATCCTCCACAGACAGCCCTCCCGAGCCTGCTCCCGAACCTGCTGCCGTGGCAGGGAAAGCTGCCGCAGCTCCTGCTGCTCCTCCTGCCGCTCCTCCTGCCGCTCCTCCTCCTGCTGCTGCTGCAGCTGCTGCTGCGTCGGCTGCTGCTGCCAATGCTGCGCCCTTGGCGGCTGTAAGGTTAAACTCTGACTCGGGTAGACTCTCCCCCACCACTGCTGATGCTTTCAGGGCTACCGCACCTCGTGGCTTTCTAGCTGTGACGGAAAGGGGGAGGAGGAACAGGGGAACGGGAGGCGACAAGGGCAAGAGAGTGAGCAGAGAGGGGCGAGGCAAGGATTGATGCGCCCTTGGCTGCTGTGAGGTTGAACTCTGACTCGGGTAGACTCTCCCCCACCACTGCTGATGCTTTCAATGCTATCGCACCCCGAGGCTTCCTGGCTGTACATTGAATGCAGGGGAAGAAGGGGAAGGAGAGTCGACAAGGGCAAGGCAGTGAGCAGACAAGGGTGAGGCAAGGATTGAGCTGCGCCCTTAGCTGCTGTGAGGTTCAACTCTGACTCAGGTAGACTCTCCTCCACCACTGCTGATGCTTTCAGTGCAATGGCACCCCGGGGCTTCCTGGCTGTGAGACATGAGAGAGGAAAGGGGATGAGCGGAAGACAACAGAAAGGGCTGATAAAGGCATTGAGCTGCGCCTTTGGCTGCTGTGAGGTTGAACTCTGATTCTGGAAAACTCTCCCCCACCACTGCTGATGCCTTGAGGGCTATCGCACCCCGGGGCTTTCTGGCTGTGGGGAGGAAAGGATGACAGGGGAGGAGGAAAGAGATCTGCTTTTTGAGAATTCTCAGAAAACAGAAGGGTGGTTGGATGGAAGGGAGGTAGGAGATAAAACAAACCGCCTTGTCGAGGTAAGGCGTGAAAGCCAGGGGGGGGGGACTCTCTGGCTCCACGAGGTGACTTTTGAGTCGACTCAAAAGTCACCTCTTTAAAACAAGCTGCCTTGTGGAGGTAAGGCGTGAAAGCCAAGGAGGAAAGACTCTCTGGCTTTCACGCCTTCCCTGCCACCAGGGACACACAAGGTGCAGGCCGTTGTCGCCTCGCCACCACCTTGTGTGTCCCTCCAGATCCACCTGCTACGCGCCAAAACCCTAGACCCAGAACTTGAACTCCAAACCTCCATTCTCTCTGGCCCTCATCTTCCCTGCTCTGCTGCTGTCTCGCCACCACATCAGCCAGCAGTTGCTGATGCTTCTGCCTTGCATGCTGTTGACTTACCCTTCCCACCCTGACTTGATTGTCCTCGCCTTCCCTGCCCCTACCTTGAACCCGAAATCCCGAATCCCCATTCCTTCTGCCTGCTCTCACCTTCCCTGCTCTCACCTTCCCTGCTCTGCTGCCTCGCCACCACATCAGCCAGCAGTTGCTGATGCTTCTCCTCGTCTTCATCGTCATCTTCCTCCTCCTCACTCTCCCTCCTCTCCCTCCTCTCCCTCCTCTCCCTCCTCTTCTTCCCCTTCCTCATCCTCCTCCTCCTCCTCACTCTCCCCTTCCGCGTCCTCCTGCTTTCCATGACCCCTCAATTTCCCAAGTTTCTTTTTCCCCTTTTTCAAATCTCCCTCCTCTTCCTCCTCTTCCTCATCCTCCTCCTCTTCCTCATCTTCCTCCTCTTCATCCTCCTCATCACTATCTAGCATACCCCCTCCCTCTTCCTCTTCTTCCTCCTCCTCGTCCTCCCCCTCATCCCCCACACCTCGCCCCATGCCCATCTTCTTCTCCTCTTCGGTAAAAGCCTCGTCCTCGTCAATCTCCTCGTCCTGAGGTGAAAGCAGGGGGGAGAGCAAGGAAGTAGCTTAGGAGAAATGAGGAGGGAAAGAGAGGAGGGAGAGGAGGTACGGTTGAGATATTATCCCTCCTCCTCATCCCCCACCCCTCGCCCCATCCCCATCTTCTTCTCCTCTTCCGTAAATGCCTCGTCCTCGTCAATCTCTTCGTCCTGGGGTGAACGGAGAAAGGAATGGGAGGATAAGGAGGGGATGGGAGAAAGGAAAGAGGATGCGTGTGGAAACCTATCCTCCTCCCCCACCCCTCGACCCATGCCCATCTTCTTCTCCTCTTCTGTAAAAGCCTCGTCTTCATCAATCTCCTCATCCTGGTGGTTCATGGAGGAGGGGAAAGAAGCCGAAGAGGAAGAAAGAGGAAGGGGCGAGAAGAGTTGAAGTAACAAATAAACGCCTCCTCTTCCTTGTCTGAGGAGGAATGAAAGGGGGTAGGGGTACGGTTGATAAACCATCCTCTACTTTCCCTTTTGACCTATTTCTGTCTTCTTTTCCTCTTCAAGGAAACTCTCTTACCCATTTTTGCAGCCCCAAAAAAATTCAGCGAAGTTATTTTCAAAACCACAGCGAAAGTTACCCTATTCTTGCCAACGTTTTCGCGCACCTCGAAGTCCGCAGGAAGCTCGTATTCGTACACGTCCACGTCATCATACCGCCGATTCTTCGCGGAAGCTTCCTCCGGAAGCTCCTCAGCCACCTCGTACCCCGCATCTACCGGCGTCGCCTCGTCCTCGTCGCTGTCCAACCCTCCGCCTTTTCCGCTGCCTTTCCCGCCGCCAAATCCGCCACCGCGGCCGCCATATCCTCCCCTTCCCCCTCCTCCGCCCCATCTCCCCCTTCCCCTTCCGCCGCCCTTCCGCCTCCCCTTCCGCCAAAACCCCTTCCCCCGAAACCCCTCCCCCCACCCCTACTCAGTCCTCTCCCCCCGCCTCTTCCTCCGCCCCTCCCTCTGCTGATGTCGCCGCGCCCGCCGCGTCCAGGCGAACTCGATCTGCCCCTTCCGCGGGAATCCCCGCGGAAGCCGCCACCGGGGGATCTGGGCTGCATGGCGTCGGGACGCGCCATACTGGCGCGCCGAGATTTGACTTGCGCTGACTCGCTTGGCTGCGTTGACTCACTTTCCTCGCTGGACTGCTTCGACTGGCTTGACTCGCTTGACTAATTCGTGTCAGCAGCGTCTGCTGCCGCTACGTTAGAAAACAGTTGCCGTGAATAATCAATGCGCGACCTGACACGCCGCGCCGGCTGCTGCTAACGTTAGAACTGGGGCGAAGATATGTAGGAAAGGAGAAGTTTCATCAGGAGAAAAGCTGAAAAGCCTTCAGGTTTCGGGTGTTGGGTTTTGCCTGAGATTAGGAGGTTAGGAGGAATCAACCCGACAAAAGCACTCGCGCTTGGACATGAAGGCTTTCTTGAATAAACGTCTGAAAGCAAGGTAAAAAACAGCAGTTCCAATAAATTAGAAGGCTAAACAGGAAATTCATTCCACATCAAGAGATAGGGAAGTAGTTATAAAACTTAAATTCCAATTTTGCCTATAAGGTATGAACCAGAAACTATAATTATTGTTGGATTTTACCTTCTCGAGCTGCATGTACTGAGGCTTTATGAAACGGGAAGTACACCATCATGCTGCCCACCTGAAAAAAATCCTTCATTTAACCCAAAATCCTTCATTCAATGAAACAAGCACCAACAACCTGAACTGAAGCATCGAAGCCATGTACCGTAACTTGAAAGAGCAGCTGTATGGAACGTTCAAGAGGAAGCGGGAAGGAGGGGAAAGAATCACGAAGAACAGGTGCTAGGGAATGGAGAGGCAAGGGTGCGTAGAGTCAGCTGGTGCTGGTGCTGGTGCTGGTGCTGGTGCCAGTGCCGGTGCTGCCAGTGGTGGTGGTGCTGTTAGTGGTGATGATGATGGTGCCAGTACTGGTGGTGTGGTGTGGTGCTGGTGGTTGTGACGCTGGCCGTGCTAGCACATGCTGCTGATTTGGGCAGTGCTTGCGCAAGTGTGAGCTCGGGCTGCTGTTGACTTGGTTAGTGTGCCAGACAGCTGGTGCTGGTGTAGGTGCCATGTGGATTGGTGCCGGTGCTGGTGGCGGCACTGGTGGTGCCACTGGTGGTGCCACTGGTGGCGCCACTGGTGGTGGTAGTGCTGGTGGTTGTGCTAGCACATGCTGCTGGGTTGGCTAGTGCTTGGACAACGGCGGCTGCTGCAGACACAGCTAGTGCAGCAGGCAGCTGATGCTGGTGCTCGTGCCATGGATGGATGCCTTTCTAATCGACTCAAAAAACATGAGCAGCACACAAAACAGGTTCATGGGAATTGATACAAGGAACAGTTGAGGCTGCTGGCATGGTTAGCGCGACCGACAGGTGGTGCTGGTGTTGGTGCTGCAGGGTTGTGGCAGAACTGGTGCTTGCGCCAGTGACGGTGGTGCCGTGGGGTTGTAACAATACTGGTGGTGCTGCTGGTGCTTGTGGTGCTTCTGGTGAAGCCCATGTTGTGGTGGTGGGGTTGGTAAGTGCTGATGGCACTGGTGGCAAAGCTGCATCACAAGGTGAAATGCTGGTGGAATGCTAGTTTTGGTGCTGGTGTTGGTGCTGTTAAAAGTGCTGATGCCACTCCATTGCTGGTGGTGCTGCTGTGTGCACCTGTGCTGGTGGCTACGCTGGCACCTCAATGAGTGGTGACAGTGGGGTGGGGGTGCTAATGCTTACAGCACTGCTGCTGCTTGTGCTCATGGTGGTGATGCTGGTCTGTGCACCTGCACCGGGGACAATGCTAGCAATTAAAATTTTGGTGCTGGTGGGGGTTCTTCCGCTGGCAATGCTGCTGCTGGAATGCGTGCTGCTAGTGCAGGTGGGTGCTGTTGATGTGGATTCTTGATTTGGTGCCAACAATTGTGGTGGAGCTAGTGATGATGGTGGTGGTGCGGGTGCTGCCATCATTGCTTGTCCTGCTCGTGCCACTGCTAGTGCTGTGCTCCCAGTGCTTGTGTTGGTGCCACTGGTGGTGCTCTGGGTGGTGGTGTTTCCACTGCGTTTATGCAACTGCTCCTACTGCTGCCGGTGCTGCTGCATGTGCATTTGTGCTGGTGCTGGTGCTGGTACTGGTGCATGTTTCGTTGTGTGCAGAAAGAGCAAACAACATCCCTCCTTACCCAAACGCGTTCTGCACTTTGCAAGCGTAACAAAGGAATGCGCCTGTGAAACAGTGTAAAAACTTGCGTGCAGCTCTGGCATTTAAAACAAATCAGACAGTGTGTGTGTCTGTGCGGACAGTGAAGAGTTTCGAGGCGCCTCAAAAGGCAGCTCTGGTGTCTGAAAAAAAAAAACAGACAATGTGCTCTGTGTGTGCGTGCAGTGGTGATCACACACACACGTTCACAGACACTGTGCGCGTGCGTGTGTGTGCGCGTGTGCAGAGCCGTGAATTACCAAGGCGAAGCTTACCAAAAAGGCAAGGCTTGGCGATGAGAGAGAGGGCCGCTTCACGTAGGCAGGACCCCGCCATGTGAACAACAGAGTCTGAGAGTCATGTGCCCACCGAGTCCCAGCACAGTCTGTCTGCAGCGCACCGTGTCTCGGCTATCCAGAAGGGAGAATTCCACTTGTTCCCGCCATGCCAATCCCCCTCTTCAAGCCCGCAGATTACATAATGAATGCCTACAGTCTGCTCCAGCAGGCCTGATGCTGCCATTCGCGCAACCCCCCTCCTCAAACCTTATGATGGCAACTCTACCACTGTTGCCGTCATGCTGCCATCATGATAACAGCAACTCTACTCCTGATCCTGTTGCGGTGCCACCCTTGCACCCCCTAATGCTGCCCTTCCTCCATGCCACCTCCGTGCCTCCTGCCAGTAGTTCTAGCCTCTACCCCTCCTCCTCCTGTTTTTCCGTCCCTCACACCCTTCTGCACCACACTGAACACTTCTGCACTCCTCTACACATCTACTGCTCCCCCGCTGTGCCTGCTGGTGGCGGCTCTACCCCTGCCCCTGCCCCTGCTGCACCTGCTCACTTCCACTCCTGCCTCTGCTGCCCCTGCTACTGTCCATATCCCATGCCCACCCCTGCACTCCTCTACACGCCTACTGCTCCTTCCTTCGTGCCTGCTGGTGGCGCTGCCCCTGCTGCACCTGCTCACTTCCACTCCTGCCTCTGCTGCCCCTGCTACTGTCCATATCCCATGCCCACCCCTGCACTCCTCTACACACCTACTGCTCCTCCTTTGTGCCTGCTGGTGGTGGCTCTACCCCTGCTCCTATCCCTGGTGCCCCTGGTACCCCTGTAGGGTCCCTCCCTTCCCTTTCCATTGCCCTGTGACCCTTCTGTCCGAGAGGAGTGCGAGAGAATGTGCTAGGGAGCAATGGGGGAGAAAAACAGGGATGAGAATGGGAGGCAGGATAAAGAGGGAGAGGGAAGGCAAAGAAAGCGAGGGAGGAGAGGGAGAACGAGGGAGAGAGAGGGGGAAAGGAGGAGAGGGAAAAAAAAAGGGAGAGGAGGAAAATGGGGGGGAGAAAGGGGGAAGGAGGAGAGGGAGAAAGAGGAAAAGAGAGCGAGAAAGGAGCGGCGAGGGATAAGATGGAGAGGGAGCAGTTAAGGAAAATAATTGTTTATCAAACTCTGAAAGGAGGATGAAGGAAGGTGGGAGGAGAACGTTCAGCATTTGAGACATCTGAAAACCCTAAACCCTAAACCCTAAGCTGCTGCTTGTTGAGCCTTGACTTGGCGGAGAAAGTGAGAGAGCAGCCGGAAGCAAGGAGTAGGTGACAGAGTGGAAGCGAAGTAGAAACTGTGATTCGGAAGAAAGGAAGGGGCAGTATATCGATCGGGGAAAGAGCGAACAAGAGATAAGGGGAGGCGGAAAGGAGAAGGGGGAGGAGGGGGAACGGAAACGTAGGGAGGATGGACACAGAGGCGTGCCAGTTGGCAACGTAAGACATGGGTTGCAAGGACGTAGGGAGGCGTTGCAAGGACTGCGTTTTGAGTCGACTCAAAACATGGGAGGGTGGAACACAGAAGCGTGCCAAGGTGCAGGGAGTGCAGGAGGGTGTGTAGCAGAGCAGTGTGAGCATCGAGGTGTGACGAGGGCAGATGGTGTAAGGGCAGTAAGGGAGTGGCGTTGGGGAGGATATTGCACGCGCACAGGGCCTCGATCCGAGGAGGCGAGAGTGATTCCCTGCAACGCCGTGTGCACTGCTGATGCTGACTCAACGTCCTGGAGAAGAGAGAGGGCGGTGGGGAAGAGGGGAGAGGCAGCTGAGAAATAACTTAATGTGAGAAGCGGTTCGAGAGGGCAGTTTATATATATATAAATTCCAGGCTCCAGCAAATACCCGAATAACATGATAAAATCTCAATATCTAAATACAAACATTTGGTGAATTGAAACAGAATAACTTCCAAAGCAGTGTCATACACTGTACCCCGGAGGAGGACTAGCGTGATAGACTCTCAAGAATTCTCAGAAGTGATAAACACATGACGAGAGAATTCCCAAATAGTGTGATACACTCACAACAAACTGCACGAAGCCGCAAGTGGAGTAATGAGTCGACTAAAAAATCGTCTCATCACACGCGGAGGAGGATTAGCGAGATAGACTCACAACGAACTGCACGAAGCAGCAAGTGCTCATTCCCTGGCGATGCAGCTTCAGCTGCACATAACCAGGCTGCCTGTAACGAGGACAAGACGACAGGGGAAGAGGAAACCGGGGAACAACGAAGCAGAACGAATGGAGGCAGTGCTTACACTCCATCACGCTTAAATAACTTGCCAGTGCCTTGTTAAGCCAAGCCGTCAGGGTACGACTATCACGAATTATAATAACCTAGTGAACTTGGTAACCAAGCTAGGATAAGAAGAATGTACACTTGTGTGAGTGAGAAGGTATGTGACACTGTGACGAAGCAGACCAAAAAAGCTGGTTGGTAGTTGCAGATTGAAATAAAAGACCATGGTTTTAAAGGTTAACACAAAGGGGAACAACAAGGAAAAAAAAAAAAGCAAAGCGGGGAGGTAAAAAAAGAGAAAGAAAAAGAAAACAAAAAATGAAGCGTTGAGTTCCAAACAATAATAAACGGAAACCAACCAAAGCACTCACACGCTGAAAATCTGCAACAGCTCGGCATCGCTCACTCCCAGGCCGAGGTTGCCGAGATAGAGAGTGTTGCAGGGGGGGTTGTCGCGGTATATCTGAAAGAGGAAGGGTAAAGAGCGGTATGGGGTGTTTTAGTGTAGTATAGAGCGGTGTTAAAACATGTGGTGTTGTAAGAGCTTCACTCCCAGGCCCAGGTTGCCGACATAGAGCGTGTTGCAGGGGGGGTTGTCGCGATATATCTGATGAAAAGGCGGTATGGTGCGGTAAGGGTGGTACAATGCAGTGCTTATGTGTTCATGCGCTGTGGTTGTGGTGTGGTAACACCCCCTGCACTCCCTGCCCAGGTTGCCGAGATAGAGCGTGTTGCAGGGGGGGTTGTCGCGGTATATCTGAGGGGGTAGGTATGGTGTCATGTGGTATAATGCGGTATGGGGTGCTTTAGTGCAGAACAATGCGCTGTAAAATGCAATGTGGTGTTGTAATAGCTCCACTCCCAGGCCCAGGTTGCCCAGATAGAGCATGTTGCAGGGAGGGTTGTCCCGGTATATCTGAGGGGGTAGGGTGGGGTGGATACAGTGCGGCACATTGCGGTACAATGCGGTGTTACTTCGATGAGGTGGTGGTGTGGCAACACCCCCCTCAGCCCCACGCCCAGGTTGCCGAGATAGAGGGGCAGGAGGGGGGGTTGCAGGGGGGTTGTCCCGGTATATCTGAGGGGCAAGAGGTAGAGTGCGGTGCGGTAACAAGTGGTGCTAGGGAGGTGTGGTGTTGTAACACCCTCCTCACCCAGAGGCCCAGGTTGTAGAGCGTGTTACAGGGGGGGTTGTCACGGTATGCCCGAGACAGCGCCTTCCTCAACCCTCTTATCTTTCCAGGCATGCCCGAGAGTGGAGCAGGGAGAGAAGAGTACGCCTTGGGAGTAGTCGAGGCAGCAGGGGGAACAACAGAAAACCCTTTGGATCAGTGACAGCCAAACAGCGCCTTTCTGAACCCTCTTACCTTGCATGCCGATGTTACTTTTGAGAATTCTCCAAGGTAACAGCACCTTCTTGAGCCCGCTTACCTTTCCAGGCATGCCAGGGGGCGGAGCAGGGACGGGGGTGTACGCTTTGGGAACAGTTGTGGCAGCTGGAGGGGCGTGAGGCAAACAATAGAGAACCCTTCACATCCGTGCTGTACTTTTCTAATCCCGCTTACCTTTCCCGGCATGCCTGGGGGCGGAGCAGGGAGGGGGGTGTACGCCTTGGGAGCAGCAGCGGGGGCATCAGGGGTAGGGAGGGGTGCAAGAAGGAGGACGATGGAGAACCCTTCCCTAGGCATCAGTGCAAACGCTACTGTGGAGTTCCTGAACCCTCTTACCTTTCCAGGCATGCCAGGGGGCGGAGCAGGGAGGGGAGTGTAGGTCTTGGGAGCAGCAGCGGGGGCAGGGGCGGCAGCAGGGAGGGGCGTGAAGGAGGACGCATAGGCGTCATATGCTGCTGGCATGAAGCTGAGGTGAGGGAATTTGGGGGGCGGGGGGGGGTGTGGGGGGGGATGGAGGAGAGATAATAAAGCAGCAGGGGCGGCAGCAGAGAAGGGTGTGAAGGAGGAGGCACAGGCGTCATATGCTGCTGGCATGAAGCTGGGGTGAGGGGATTTGGGGGGCGGGGGGGGTGTGGGGGGGGATGGAGGAGAGAGAATAAAGCAGCAGGGGCGGCAGCAGAGAAGGGTGTGAAGGAGGAGGCACAGGCGTCATATGCTGCTGGCATGAAGCTGGAAGGAGGGGGAGGAGGGGAAGAACGCGAAGAAGGAAGGCAAGAAGAAGGATTGGGAGAGGAAGCGGGAACAAATTGGGCAGCAGGGAGGGGTGTGACGGAGGAGGCATAGGCGTCATATGCTGCTGGCATGAAACTGCAAGCAGGGAGGTGGGAGGGAGAAAGGGAGAGCAGAGAGCAGAGAGTATGATGATCAGCGAGGGGTATGAAGGAGGAGGCATAGGCGTGGCATGAAGCTGAGGTGAGGAATGGGAGCAGGGCGGAGCAGAGAGTAGAGGAAGAGCAGAGAGAGCAGAGAGCAGAGAGTATGATGATCAGCGAGGGGGTGACGGAGGACGCATAGGCGTCATATGCTGCTGGCATGAAGCTGGGGTGAGCGGGAAAGGAAACGGGAGGGGAAAGAGGTAGGAGGGAGAGGAGAAAGGACTTAGGCAAAAAACAAGAGGGAGGGCAAGAAAGCAGAAAAAACAAGGCTTGGGAGAGGGGCCGGGAACAGAGGGGGCAGCAGGGAGGGGTGTGAAGTAGGGTCGAGCATAGGGCCGGGCCCGGCCCGTGCATAAGGCCGTGCATAGGGCCCGTGCTCAACCCTAGTGTGATGGAGGAGGCTTTTGAGCATAGGGCCTGGCCCGGGCCCGGCCCGTGCATAAGGCCGTGCATAGGGCCCGTGCTCAACCCTAGTGTGAAGGAGGAGGCTTTTGAGCATAGGGCCTGGCCCGGGCCCGGCCCGTGCATAAGGCCGTGCATAGGGCCCGTGCTCAACCCTAGTGTGAAGGAGGAGGCATGCGCCCCCCCTCACCTGCCCATAGCAGCAGCAGCGACTTTTGAGGTGCCTCAAAAGTGCTCAATCCTAGTGTGAAGGAGGGGGCATAGGCCCTCCCTCACCTGCCCATAGCAGCAGCGCTGGGCATGAAGGCCGCCATCGGATCAACCCATATGCTGCCCTTCTCCTCCTCTCCCCCGTGCACCTCTCCCTTTTCCCCCCTTCCCCCCACTCCTCCACCCCTCACCTGCCCATAGCAGCAGCGCCGGGCATGAAGGCAGCCATGGGATCAACCCTCGAGCGCTTGGAGTGGTCGTAGCCGTCACCTCCCCCAGGTAGACCTGTAAGGGAGGGGCGGCGTGGGGGAAGGGAAAAGAGGTGAAGAAGGGAGGATCCGCCCTGGAGTGCTTGGAGTGGTCGTAGCCGTCACCTCCCCCAGGTAGACCTGTAAGGGAGGGGCGGCGGGGGGAAGGGGAAAGGTGAAGAAGGGAGGATCCGCCCTGGAGTGCTTGGAGTGGTCGTAGCCGTCACCTCCCCCAGGTAGACCTGTAAGGGAGGGGGGGCGGCGGGGGGAAGGGGAAAGGTGAAGAAGGGAGGATCCGCCCTCGACCACTTGGAGTGGTCGTAGCCGTCACCTCCCCTGGGTAGACCTGCAGAAACGGGACACGTGGGGAGGCGAAAGCGAGTACGAGAGGATAGAGTGAGAGCAACGAGAGGGGCAGGGGCGGTCGACCATCGAGCGCTTCGAGTGGTTGTAGCTGTCACCTCCCCCAGGTAGACCTGCAGAGACGGGGCGTGTATGGTAAGTACGTGAGACGACTTTAATAGGGTAGACGACTTTTGAGACGTCTCAAAAGCAGAGCAAAGGAAAGACATGCCAGACACCATCGGATCAATTTCGAGTGCTTGGAATGATCGTAGGTAGGTGTCACCTCCCTCAAGGAAACCTGCAGAAAAGGGGTGCGTAGGGGAAGGCTAAAGGAGAATAGAGCAAGTGAAGAAGGGAGGATCAATCCCCCCAGGTAGACCTGCAGGGGAAAAGCGCTAAGAACATAATGCGGTAAGAGAGAGGGAGAAAAACAAGGGTGATCCACCCTTCAGTTCAGGGCTTGCATTATTAAGTTCAGTAAAGCCCCGTTCATGGCTTTGCGAAGATACACTAGCGCGTCACTGTCTTGCATGTCGACAAGAAAAAGGAAGAAGGCGCACCTTTCCGTCTGTGCAGGTTGGTTTTGGCCAGCTCCACTCGCAGCACTGAGTTGTGATCCGCGTCGAATATGAGACCCTGGGGGGGGGGGGGAGGGAAGGGAGGGGGGCACAGTGCACACATACACATGAAGGATCACTGAGGCAACAGCAGCAGCACAGCTCCACTCGCAGCACCGAGTTGTGATCCGCGTCGAATATAAGGCCCTGGGGGGGGAGGGAGGGAGGGAGGGAGGGAGGGAGGGAGGGAGGGAGGCAGGGAGGGGAGGGGAGGGGCACAGTGCACACATACACATGAAGGATCAGTGAGGCAGCAGCAGCGGCAGCACCGGCTCCACTCACAGCCCTGAGTTGTGGTCCGCGTCGAATATGAGACCCTGGGGAGTTACGGAAGGGAGAGGGGGGTTGCACAGAGAAACATGAAGGAGCAACGTGGCAGTAGCAGCAGCAGCTTGCAGGCCTCATAGCCCGACCAACCCTTTTCAACATCCCACCCCACCGCATCCCATCCCATCCCACCGCATTCCACCCCTGAAGATGGCAAACCCTAATGGCTGGTCGTTTTTTAAGGTGAGCTGGCAGGCCCCGTAGCCCGCACCCCCCCTGCTTCCACCCCAAACCACCGCATTCCACCCCTGCTCACCTGAAGTGCATCACGAGCAGCAAACGCCATAGCCGGCGTGCTGAAAATCGCAAACCCTAACGGCTGGTCGCCTTTAAAGGTGAGCTGGCATGCCTTGTAGCCCCGCCATTCCTTTCTCCCAATTACTTCTCCCCTCCCACTGCATCCCACCACACCGGGTTCCACCACACCACACCACACTACACCACACCCCATCCCTGCCCACCTGCAGCGCGTCTCTAGCTGCGAATGCCATAGCCGGAGTGCTGAAGATGGCAAACCCTAACGGCTGATCGCCCTTAAAAGTGAGCTGGCAGGCCTCGTAGCCCGGCCACCAGCGCAGCATGTTCTGCACCTCGCGCTCCTTGGCGTCTGGGGGAAAGCCTGTGACGAATATTGTGCGAATCTGCTTGGCGAAATGTTACAAAAGTTTCGCGAAACGGAGGGGGAGAGTGGGAAAGGGGGGAGAAGAAGTGGGGTGAGCTGGCAGGTCTCGTGGCCCGGCCACCTCGCGCTCCTTGGCATCTGGGGGGGGAACCCTGTGACGAAGATTGTGCGAATATGGTAAGCGAAATGAGCGAAAGTGGAAAAAATGGAAACTATGGCGCATGAGAAGGGGGGAAGGGAGTAGGAGGCGTAGACGAAATCACTTTAGTTTCGGAAGAAGCGGATAAGAACGCTTTAAAAAAAGAGAAGGGAGTTTTCAGAAGAAAGGAGAAGCTAGTTTCACGAGAAAATGAACGACGCGGTTCCGGATCAATATAGACGTAGACAGGGAAGTTATCCCTGAGAGCGCAGATCGTAGAACGGTCGAGTTTTGAGTCGAATCAAAACTCGACGCGGTTCCGGATCAATATAGACGTAGACAGGGAAGCTATCCCTGAGAACGTAGATCGTAGAACGGTTACCGCGTGAGAGACGGATGAGTGTATAACATGCGTTAAGGGGGACTGACGCGGATTGTGCCGTCAGAATGACGTCAGCATTGGCGGACGACGACTCTGGGAAACCTTGAAGCAGCGGGTTACATTGACCAGCGAACAGAGGATTCGCCATTGACGAGTTTTGAGTCGACTCAAAGATCGCCTCGTGACACGCGAGAGTGCGACGACAGGCGAGAGTGCGACGATAGGCGATCGGGGAGAAGCGCGAGAGTGCGACGACTCGCTCACCTCTTCGCCTTCGGGAGTCACGGGCCATTGACCGGTGAACAAGGGGTTCGCCATTGACGAGGTAACGCCCGGATATTGGAGGGTATTGGAGAATTCCGAGTCACGGTATTTTACGGACGGAAGCGGGCACGCGCGAAAGCGAGGAAGCGCGGAAGGAGGAAGACGAAGCAAGGCAGCGGCGGATTGTAAGACAGACGAGAAGTGCTGATGGGCACAAGTCCTGATGACCTAGGTAGTTTGCCTTTGTACGCGGTATGGGCTTGTCCTGCGTATATTACGAATTGGCAGCAGCGCGTATTCCCTCAAAGAAGCCCCTTACCCAAAAAATCGTCATACGTATTTTGGCACACTTCTGTAGTTAAGATAATTGTTCCACACAAATTTCTCACGGTTTTACAATACAGAATCTTTAGATTGTGAGGATTATTATTGGAGGATGTTTTGTGCACCACAAAAATCCCATGCAAGCGGTCGCGTTGTGATGTAAGGGAAAGGAATTTCCTTGTTATAGTACAAGCTGTCAAACAAATCTTGCCCCAGATAAGAGCCATACCTGCTCTATCCGTCCAATACTCCTCACGCACCCCGATACTGTACATGTGTCAATTTTACAGTTCCCACCACACATAACTATGCTGTTTCTCCCCCACTACCATCCTTACCCTCGCAGCCTGGCAGGATTAGCCCCTGCGGCTACCACCGCTGTTACCAGCAGTGCTCCCATTCTATCTGTTACTAGCAGTACTTCCATTCTATCTCTTCTCCCTCCCCCCACTTTACACCACTCTCCTTTCCACTGGGCTGGGCTGCTCTAATTGTTCCCAACCCCCATCTCACTATCATCCCCCACCTCTTCTCCTGCCCCTCCTCCTCCCCGTTCCCTCCCCACTTGCTTCGGCCTTTTCCCTGGACCTTCCCCTCCCCATCCAACCGCCCCCCTCTGTCCCCGTTCCCTCCCCCCTCCCTCCCCGCTTTTCCCTACACCAACCCCTGCCCCTCCCCTGCCCCTGTCCCTCCCCCTGCCACTGCCGCTGCCCCTGCCCCTGCCCCTGCCCCTGCCCCTGCCCCTGCCCCTGCCCCTGCCCCTGCCCCTCCCCCCCCACCTCCCCCTCCTCTTCCGATTCCCGTACCGTTACCTCTCGCCTTGTCCTTTTCCCCGCACCTGCCCCTTGCGCACCTGCCCCTTGCACACCTGCCCCTTGCGCACCTGCCCCTTGCGCACCTGCCCCTTGCGCACCTGCCCCTTGCGCACCTGCCCCTTGCGCACCTGCCCCTTGCGCACCTGCCCCTTGCGCACCTGCCCCTTGCGCACCTGCCCCTTGCGCACCTGCCCCTTGCGCACCTGCCCCTTGCGCACCTGCCCCTTGCGCACCTGCCCCTTGCGCACCTGCCCCTTGCGCACCTGCCCCTTGCGCGCTCTCTGCCGCCTTCCTCTTCTCTCCCCCCTCCACAGCCTCCGCCTTGGCCGCCGCAGCAATGAACACATTCAGCACATTGACAAGATACCTCACCGCAGACCCAATCTTGGCTTCCTGCTTCACCCCACTCAACTCCTCCCCACCCTCTTGAGCAGCAGTAGCTGCTGCTGTCCCCGCTGCTGCTCCTCCTCCTTCCCCTCCTACTACTGCCACTGCTCCTTCTCCTCCTCCTTCCCCTCCTACTACTGCCACTGCTCCTTCTCCTCCTCCTTCCCCTCCTACTACTGCCACTGCTCCTTCTCCTCCTCCTTCCCCTCCTACTACTGCCACTGCTCCTTCTCCTCCTCCTTCTCCTCCTACTACTGTTCCCACTCCTTGCCCTCTTCCTTCCCCTCCAACTACTGCTGTTCCTACTCCTTCCCCTCCTACTACTGCCACTCCTCCTTCCCCTCCTGCTGCTCCTGCTGCTCCTGCTCCCTCTCCTCCTCCTCCCATTCCTTCCCCTCCATCCCCTTCCGCCCCACCGTTCATCTCCTCTGCCTTATCCCCTCCGGTGCTGACCAGCAGGGTGACAGGGTACCGTCCACTGGCATTGTACTCTTCAATCTCCGCTGCAGCTCGCTTGAAATCCTCCACTCCCACCCATGCGAAATCCTCCTCAATTTCCCTCATAGCCTTGGCCACTAGCTCGTCTGTACTGTTGAACACACGCTGTTGTTGAAAGGGGAATATGGGGGGACAGAACGGGGAGCGAGAGAAGAGAAATGAGAGCACAGAAAGGGAAACGAGAGCACAGCAAGAGAAAAATTACCAACCTCATACAATGTATGCACATCCGATGGTCGGGGTGAATAAAAGTGCACCTTTTGTACACGGGCTCAACAGATACACGCCATGCCTACAGCATACCTTTGTGACTCCATTAGTTTCTTGGACTCGAAAAAGGGCACAATCGGGTCGCTCCAGCATCCGCTCCCACTCCGAAAACTTGATACGAAACCAAAAACTATTTTCGGGGATCCAAAATCTGCAATCATCGCACGCCTTGCACTCCTTGCACGCCTTGCACTCCTTGCACGCCTTGAATGACTTGATTGCCCGACACGGGGGGCACGCCTTGCATTTGTCGCACGCCCGGAAAGCCTTGAGCCAGAGTGCCCTATCCAGCAGCCCCACCGTCTCGGTGCGCACAGGAGGCCTGGATACGAGCTCGGCTATCCCTGGCAAGGTCACTGTATTGAGAACCTTCTGATTTTTAATCAGGAACTGGGGAGGGGAATGCAAGGACAGGGCGTAGGGGAGGGAGGGAGGGAGCGTCAGGGAGGAGAGGGAGAGTAGTGTGCTCCACCGTTTGGGGGAGGACCTGAAGCACGCACACACGCATGCACACACCTGAATGAAAGGCACGCACGCACACACTCGCACACGCACGCACGCACCTGAATGAAGGCACGCACGCACGCACGCACGCACGCACGCACGCACCTGAAGGACAGTCATTCTCGCATCCAGCAGGTCATCCTCCTTGGCCCTCACATCCATGCACAGGTCCTGCACTCCTTCCAACACCCCCTTAAACCTCTCCTTCAACGTCATCGTAAAATCCATCACAGTTTCATGCTGCTGATCATTCGCGCACAACAGGAACGAGCTCCAGTCCTTCTCCTGCTGCAACCTCCGCTTAGACTCCTCCAATTCCTCCTCCAGCTGCTTCACCCTCTCGTCCGCCTCCCTTGACCTCTCCACATCCGCCTCCCCCGCTCCCTGCTTCCTTAAGATCTCCGCACCCTCTGCGCCCTCTGCCTCCTGCGCTTCCACTGCCTCCTGCGCTTCCACTGCCTCCTGCGCTTCCACTGCCTCCTGCGCTTCCACTGCCTCCTGCGCTTCCACTGCCTCCTCTGCTTCCACTGCCTCCTCCGCTTCCACTGCCTCCTCCGCTTCCACTGCCTCCGCAACCTCTGCATCCTCTGCTTCCTCTGCTATCTGCTTCCCCAGGGACCTCTCAGATTCCACCAACAATTTCTTGCCCCTGATTTACCACTTGATGCCTCTGATCTAAATTCACCCACTCCTGGAGGGAATTCACCTGTACCTCCTCCGTCTCACGCTGCTGGGCGGGGGAGAGGGAGAGAAAAAGGGAGGCGGTGTTTGAGACGTTTTAGTGGTTGGCTGATCCACAAAAGGGTGTAGAGCTCGACCATGCAAGCAGACATGAATGATATGAAATAAAGCACACCGGGAGAGCTATCGACTGAGGGCACATGAGAAGATATAGATGACGGCCGTGTCAGCGGTAAACAGGTGGGCTTTAAAGGTCAGTGATATACTTGAAGGCCGACGTAAATGAAATAAAACACACCGGAGGAAGGAGCAAGGCCTGCTGCTGCAGCTCTCCCTGCAGCAGCCTTGTCAATTCCTTCGGCCTTTGAATTTTCTACCATAACGAATGTGATTATAAGCGAAGAAAAAGCATGGTGCCCAACACAGTTGTGAACAAAGCGATCGAGCATTTCAAAGGCTTCAAGGGCCCAACATAGGGCCCCCCTTTCCCCCTCACCTCCCCCTCACCCCTCTTTCACCTCCCCCTCGCCCCTCCCCTCAACCTCCCGCCCCTCACCTCCTGCTCGTTCGCGCTGCTCTCCTCCCGCATGCGATCCCCTTTGTCACTTCGTTTTTCAGCTGTCTCAACATCTCTTTTTTAAACTGGTCCAGAAAGCCTTCCTCCTTCAGCATGTCGTTCTTTAGCTGTTCCAAAAGTTCCCCCTTCAACTTCTCCTGGCGCTCCTGCCGCTGCTTCTCCTCTCGCTCCTGCTGCTGCTTCTCCTCTCGCTCCTGCCGCTGCTTCTCCTCTCGCTCCTGCCGCTGCTTCTCCTCTCGCTCCTGCCGCTGCTTCTCCTCTCGCTCCTGCCGCTGCTTCTCCTCTCGCTCCTGCCGCTGCTTCTCCTCTCGCTCCTGCCGCTGCTTCTCCTCTCGCTCCTGCCGCTGCTTCTCCTCTCGTTCCTGCCGCTCCTTCTCCTCTCGTTCCTGCCGCTCCTTCTCCTCTCGTTCCTGCCGCTCCTTCTCCTCTCGTTCCTGCCGCTCCTTCTCCTCTCGTTCCTGCCGCTCCTTCTCCTCTCGCTCCTGCCGCTGCTTCTCCTCTCGCTCCTGCCGCTGCTTCTCCTCTCGTTCCTGCCGCTCCTTCTCCTCTCGTTCCTGCCGCTGCTTCTCCTCTCGTTCCTGCCGCTCCTTCTCCTCTCGTTCCTGCCGCTCCTTCTCCTCTCGTTCCTGCCGCTCCTTCTCCTCTCGTTCCTCCCGCTCCTGCCGTTCCTGGTCCCCCTTATCCCCCCCGCCTTCACCCGCTTATTCCCCCCGGCCGGCACCAGCTTTCTCGCTTCCTGTTCATCCAATACATGAGGAGACGAGTGGAGCAGAGAGGGGAGGAGGGGAGGAGAGGGGAGGAGAAGGGGGAGATGGGAGAGAGGGGAGAGAGCGGAGAGACGGGGGGAGAGGGGAAGGCAGGGAAAGTGTGAGTTACGCAGGCGTGGCCTGGGGGAGAACAGACCTCCAGGCCACTTTGAATCGACTCAAAGAACAGACCTCGCCTCACCTCGCTCTGGCTCTTGTGGTTCTGCCACTTGCTGCAATGTTGAGTCCCTTCTGAGAATTCTTTGCAGACGCTTTTGAGAATGTTGACCCCTGTTTGAGAATTCTATATATATATATATAAAACGACACCTCGCTCGGCCTTCTGTTCTCAGGCTCTTGGTCGCTGTGCGCTTTTTGTGCAGCATCGAGTGCAGCGTGCAGAGGGAGAGGTGAGCCAACAAACAAGCCTCACCTCTCTGAGGCTCTTGGTCGCCTTGTGCGTCAATTTCAGCGCTTTCCCCATTAACCTCTCCTCGCTCCCCACCTGCAGATCCTCCTCCCTTGCCGCCCATGCAAATAACTTCGCCGTTTCCTCCTTTCCCTTACGCAGAAACCCCTCCCTCCCCAGTTCTAACTGTGCAAATGCCTCATCCAGCTTCATCACAGCCTCCCACCCCTGTGCATTGCCCTCGAAGTAAACCAGAGCCGTGCTTTTACATCTGGAGTACTCTGGAGGGTAACACAAAGAGCAACAAAAAGCAACAAAAAAAGCCACAAAGAGCTACACAACGTTGAGATCTCAAATTTCACAATGAGAGAGACAAGCATGAGCTAGCTAACCCCAACTCACTGCGACACTCCCCAGTTAGCTTACCCCCATTCACTGCGAAATATATCCACTCCCCGTCCCGTAGTCCTTGAGACGATTTTGAGGCGCCTAAAAATTCTCCCCAGTGAGCTAACCCCACTCCCTGTGGCCCGTAGTCCTCGAGAGCTGTTTCCAATTTCCACTTTCTACTCAAGAGTATGAGCTAACCCCACTCACTGCAACACTTCCCAGTGAGCTAACCCCCACTCACTGTGAAATCTATCCACTCACTGTGAAATATATCCACTCACTGTGAAATATATCCACTCACTGTGAAATCTATCCACTCACTGTGAAATATATCCACTCACTGTGAAATATATCCACTCACTGTGAAATATATCCACTCACTGGGAAATATATCCACTCACTGTGAAATATATCCACTCACTGGGAAATATAACCACTCTCTGTGGCCCGTAGCCCTTGAGAGCTGTTTCCACTTGCTTCCGAAGTCTCCTGTCCAAAATACACGGCTTAATGCGGCAGTTCGTAAAACTCTCCAGGTTCTTGACAATTGCCACGGGCGGCCACAGAATCTGATCCTGCACGGCCTTTCAACCAACAAAAAGAACACGCGTACATACGTAGGTACATACATATTGCATCTATTTGAAATATGAAGTCGTTTGTGCTGGAAGGAGGCGCACGGAGTTCAAAGACAAAAGCGAGTTGACTGATGAGTCGACCCAAAAGTCAACTCATATTAAACTTGACCATACGAGCTGCTGGTAAAGAGGAACGTTTCAGAGGAGCACGAACTTGATCCCCATCCTGATTCTTCTTGAAACCTTTTCCCATGCTCTCCTCCACACAGCGTCAGCTACACGCTCCCGTTTTCCCACCCAACGTGAGCCACTCACTCACCTCTCCCTGCTGCTGCTGCTGCTCCCTCCGCTGCTGCTGCTGCTGCTGCTGCTGCTGCTCCCTCTGCTTTATCTGCTTCCTCTGCTGCCTTTTCAACTCCCGCGCCTGCTGCTGCCTTGTCAACCCCCGCTCCTCCTGCTGCCTTGTCAACCCCCGCTCCTCCTGCTGCCTCGTCAACCCCCGCGCCTGCTGCTGCCTCGTCAACCCCCGCTCCTGCTGCGTATCCACCGTCTGCTGCTCGTCCCACACCTGAGTTGGACCCACGGGCAAGTGGAGGGGAGGGGAGGGAGGGGAGGGAGGGGAGGGGCATTGAGATAGACAGGCACAACTCGCAACTCTTGCGGCAGACTCAGAGTATGTATCGAGCCGACTCAGAGCAGTCGAGTTGCTGCTTCACTGCCTCCTGCTCGTCCCACACCTGGCTGGCAAGGTGAGGAATCGCGGCGAGAAGAGGCGAGGAGTTGGGGAGAGAGGAGAGCAGAGGGGACAAGAGGAGAGGAGAGAAGATGAGAGGAGAGGAAGGAGAGGAAGAGAGGAGAGGAGAGCATGGGGGGAGAGAGGTGAGGTGAGGAGAGGTGAGGTGAGCCTTCAAACAAGCCTCACCTCTCGCCGGCTCTTGGTCGCCTTGTGGTTCTGGTGCAGCACTCTCCCCAGCGGTTGAGAATCAACCTCCGACTTCAGATCCTCCTCCCTTGCAGCCCACGCAAACACCTCCTTCCTCTTCTTCGACTTCTCACTCCGATGCCCATCCCTCCCCCGCTTTAACTCTTCAAAATCCTTATCCAGCTTATGAACAGCCTCCCACCCGTTTGCATCTGGCTTGAAGTGAATTAAAGCCATGTCTGTAATGCGGTTGTCCTCCGCTGGCGTGGGGGGATAAGAGAGCAGCACAAAAGGCGGAGAGAATGCAAGAGGCGTATGCGAGGATTTTGAGGTCGTCGCATCAGGATACACAGGCATGTGTATGATCGCGTCGCAGGCATGTGTGTATGATCGCAGGCATGTGTGTAATCGTAGAAGTACACAAGGTCGTGTATCCCTGTTGATACACATACTCAGTCTCTCCCTCATCAGCCCTCCCCTCCCTCGCCCCGCACTCACTGTAAATCACATCCACTCTCTTCCATGGCTTGTAGACCTCGAAAGTGCTTTCCACCTTCTCTCGGGTTGGGCCCTCCAAGTGCCTGCTCTCATCAAACTCCCAATAACTCCGCAGGTTCTTGACAATGGCCACGGGCGGCCACGAAATCCGATCCTGCACAAGCTCTCAAACAACATTGAAAATTTGAAAATTTGTAAAAATCCATCATCACCCTTTTCCCCGTGCCATCACCTACCTAACCCCATGCCATTACAACCCTTTCCCCATGCCAGGTCCTTCCTTTCGCCATGCCACCGCTGCCGGTATCATCTCCCTTCCTATCATCCATTACACCTCTATCATCTCCCCCCTTCCCCCATGCCACCTCCTCCCTTCCCCCACGTGCCATCACCTCCCTTTCCCACCTCGCCATCCCATTCGTCCCCACCCATATCATCTCCTCCATTCCAACATGAGGTCATACCCCTTCCCCATGCCTCGCCCTTCCTACTCTCATTCAGCCCTTCATACACTCATTCTGCCATTCTCACTCTCATTCCGCCCTCCCTACTACTCTCATTCCGCCCTTCCTATTCTCACTTCCTACTCTCACTCCGCCCTTCCTACTCTCACTCCGCCCTTCCTCCTATTTCGCACTTGCTTACCTCTACAACTGCCCGTGATTGCCGAGGTTCGGCGCGTACAGTCCCAGCCGGCTCTCCCGGCGGCTGTAGATCCGGTCGCAACAGACGATCCAGCAGCAACCTGTGCTGCCGCCTCTCCTCGGGGCCCGTTCTCGTGCCGTCGAGGCTTGTCAAAGACCCGGCGTTTGATTGTTCTTCCGCGTGCTTCTTGATCTCGTCAAAGTTGTACCTCTGATGCGTCTGCTCCGGACAGAAAGGGCAGCGGAAGGTCCCGTCCTGGTTGAGAAAGGTTGCCGGGTTTTCCAAGCGGTCCTTGTAAGACGTCATTGGTTGATCATGATCGTCCTCGTCATCGTCGTCGTAGAGTGTAATGATGTCGCCGCTCTCGTCGTCGCCGCGCTCGTCGTCGTCGTCGACGATAATGATGATTTCGCGATCGCCGTTGACTTCCAAATCCATGTGCTAGACAGTGCTCCGGGCGCGACGAAGTTATAAGTTCTAGGCAGAAATGGATAGAGCTGACAGTAAAGAAGGGAGTCTGAAGGCTTCACGAAACGGAGAGGTTTCTCGAAAGGAAGAGATTTTGGGAGCGGGGATGTCACATCGACCGTCAATGAACGGTGACCTAAACGGTCTGCGGTGGCGTGGCGAATGCAACGCGCGATTTTGGCGCAGAGAATGCAACGGCGCGATTGGTGTGGCGAATGCAATGCACGAATGATGCGCGCGGTGGGGACTTCGAATAGCTGATAAGCAACCGTGTGGGCGCTAACCCTAATGAACGTCGCTCCCCTGGTACGCTATGTTCACGTAGCTATTCTTGTTAGCGATCCGCGCGGCATGCAATGCGGTATGCCCAATTGATGTTGCTCAGCGTGTTTAGAGTGGTTCTTGGAATGCGGGAATTAGCACTGGCAATTTGGGAGAAGTGTCTCTTTGCCTCAGGAATCACCCTGTGCGATGTTTGCCTGCGGTTGTAACCAGAACACGCATCGACTTTGGCGCGGCACGGCAAACCTCAGCACCGACTGGCCACCCCGCCAGCTGAAATTCGTCGTGACCTTCGTCACGCATGCTAGTTTCCCGCTCCACTCTGAACAGCCGAAAATTTTCGTCGTCATCCGTCGCAAAGTATCGGTGGCTCGGCGAGACTCTCTGCGAAGGGGAAACCAGAGCGGAAGACACGTGACGTGGCAATTCTTTTGTGCTGCGAGAGAAATTCGCGTCGTAAACTGTCGCGAAGGATTCGCGCTGGCACAAAAGTTTCGCACTTCAGAGTGGCTCGCATGTGCGACATATCGCGGCTGTGCTCGCCCGAATTCGCCACCCATTGCAAACCCAATAGCATTTTCGCCTGCGCTGCAAATGCTACCCATCATCACGCTTCATTGTACAGATCGAGTTTCCAACATGTGCAGATCTACCCATTCGAAGCAACAGGCCTCTCTAGGTCTAGGGGAGGAACACTTAGCCTATGGGAGCAACACTTGGAGCAACACTGCTCAAACTTTGGCCCTGATGGTGGTCATTTTTCCGCCATTTTTTAGAGATCAAGGAGACCACGTACGGAGTATAAGAAGCTTAGAGGGCGAAATATCTCAAGATCGTTGGACTAGAATTCTGGACAGAACTGTCGACTTCACAATAAACGTCGTCTACGAAAACATAACCGTTAAAACTTTCTCAAATTCAAATATGTTGTAGCCCTTTAACTTGGGTATCTTTTCCAATTTGAATCGTGTAAAAAGATGGAGTAAAACTCGAGATATGAATTTTGGCGCACTTGGGGTATTTAGTAACCAAAGACCACATAAGCACATCAAATCCATTCTATATAGGAACCCAACTTTGACCCTTGTCATTTTCCAACTCATGCAATCCACCTCACCCAAACTTGACCACAATTGCCAACCTAGTTTAACTTCTCCCAACCACTTGGCATCAATCTACACAATTTCCAACCTAGTTTGACTTCTCCCAACCACTTCGCATCAATCCACAAAATTGCAAACATAGTTTGGCTTCTTCCAACCACTTGGCATCAATCTACACAATTGTCAACCTAGTTTGGCTTCTCCCAACCACTTGGCATCAATCCACACAATTGCTAACCTGGTTTGGCTTCTCCCAACCACTTGGCATCAATCCACACAATTGCCAACCTGGTTTGGCTTCTCCCAACCACTTGGCATCAATCTATACTAGATTGACAAATTTTCTCAACACCCATAAGTTTATACCCCATATGGAGTCACCCTATCAATTCCCATAGTCGCTGCAACCAAATACGAAAAGCATACGAACTTCGAACGTTCGTAACTTTCTCGTCTGTGCCCCGATCGCGACGATTCTTGGTTTGTCGGAAAGCTCTCGAGGAGAGAAGTCATCTCAGGAAACCGCTTAAGTAAATTAATACTCACAAATACTCAGAAAATCCAAACTTTCACAAATACAAATTATTACGCGCGCACCACCAGGGCCCGTGCTAGGTTTTGGGGCATCCTGAGGCCTCAGGGCAACTTTCCAGAAATTGAAAAAAAACCCCTGATTTGTCAGGGCAAATTTTGAAAGGCTTTCTGTAGTTTCAGGGCTTTTGCAGAAATTTATCCTAACCTGTCAGGACTAAAAAACGAATGTTTAGGGTTCTGTTTTTAGCACTTGTAGTGGGACTAGCAATGTCTTATACCCTAGCAAGCATGGCACAAGGCGAGACAGGGGTGTTGCCTTGCCTAACCTGTTTCCGAATTTGATGGGGTTGGCTTGGCTGGTGCGACGCGGAGATTCGGAATGGAACCCCCCCCCCCCCCCCCCCCCCCCCCCCCCCCCCCCCCCCCCCCCCCCCCCCCCCCCCCCTCTCCCCTAACCCCCTAAAAAAACGCGTCAGTGCAAGCCTCGATGTTCATCCTGACGCTACAGGGAAGAACACCACAGCCATTCTGAATTTCCAGGGCATTTCATATAACATCATCCTGAGACCACAGGGTTAAAAGTGAGACTATTCTGAAATTACAGGGCAAATTCAAAACTGCATCCTGAAATCAGGGTAATCAGGATGTTTTGCCCTGAAATCGTGGGGCCTGCGCACCACGCATACATGGTATGAACATAAGATGAGAAGCAGACAGACGTGAATGCAAATGATAGCATCACACAACAAACGTCCCCTCTGGCTGTAATCCATCTTATTAGAGACTAAGGACGGAGTTTAGGAAACTCAGAGAGCGAAATATCTCAAAATCGTTGGACATGAATTTTGGACAGAGTCGTTGACTTCAGAAGAAGTGTTGTCGACAAAAATATAACCGTTAGGATATTCTTAAACTCGAAAATGTTGTAGCCCTCGACCTTAGGTATCTTTCCCAATTTGAATCGTATCAAAAGATGGAGTAGAATGCGAGCTATGAATTTTGGCGCACCGAGAGGTATACAGTAGCTCAAACTTAACTCAAACTTAATATATCTCCCAAGAACCACACAAGAGAAATGGAGTAGCTAGAAATCATGTAGGGGAGGATGAGGAGGACGAGAGGGATTGTCACAAGGGAGTCCCCAACCAAAGAAACGACATAAGCACATCAAATCCCCTCACTATAGGAACCCAACTTTGACATTTGTCATTTTCCACACTATGCAATCTACCTCACCCCAATTTGACCACACTTGCCAACCTGGTTTGGCTTCTCCCAACCATTTGGCATCAATCTACTGTGGAGTGACGAAATTTCCCAACCCCCAAAATTTTATATCCCATATAACAACACCCTACCAATCCCATAGTCGCCGCAACCAAATATGAGTAGCATACAAACGTTAAGCGTTCGTAACTTTCTCGTCCGTGCTCCGATCGCGACGGTTCTTGGTTCGTCAGAAATGTTTTGAGCAAAGATTTCATTTCAGGAATTCGCTCAAACAAAATAACATTCACAAGCACTCTGTCAATCCAAACCATGCCAAACACAAATTCTTACGCACACACCACGCATGCATCGTACGAACATAAGATGGGAGGTAGAGAGGCGTGAATGCGAATGATAGCATCACACAACAAACTCCCCCTCTGGCTGCCAACCAACTTGTAGAGACTAAGGTCGGAGATTAGGAAGCTTAGAGGGCAA